ATTTTGTGTTGGTCACAATCTTCTCGATTCAGTACACGAAGAATAAGCAGACTAAGAAGCATTATTGACTTACCAACTACAATGGGTGATGCTATAGCTAATGCTCCTGGCTTTATCATTTCCCTCAAAGCTGCAGATGCGACAATGGCAACACAGCGACTGTAATCTGGCTTCTCCTTGTACTCCTGTTACACGAAATTAGTGTTGTCAGTCAACAGCGAGAAGCCAAATAAACATAGAAAAGGAGAAAGCGCTCAGAAAGAAAACGTAGACTCACCATTATGCCAGGCCTCTCAATAAATTGTCTTCTTACTTCGTTAACAACCTCTTGTGCAGTTCGACCAACTGCTGCGCATGCCCAAGCACTAAAGAGGAATATAAGCATGGAACCCAATAATCCACCTACGAAGACTTCTGGGATAGCAATATCAACCTGTTTTGATCCCAGGATGTGCATGAGAAGCTGTCTGAACATGACGGATACAACAAATGGTTTCTAATAAACATTTACCTCTTTGAAAGACACATTAGCAAACGCTGAAACCTCGTCCATATACGCACTAAAAAGAAGGAACGATGCAAGTGCAGCAGATCCAATGGCAAACCCCTTTGTTGTTGCTTTTGTGGTGTTCCCAACAGCATCAAGAAGATCAGTGATCTCACGGACACTTTCAGGCTACACGAGACAATTATTACATCCAAATTAGTATAAATATAAGACAGAGAAGTCTTTCAAACCAATCATGAGACACTTACCTGCTGGCTCATCTCGACAATCCCACCAGCGTTATCAGCTATGGGACCAAACATGTCCATAGTAAGAACATAAGCTGCAGTGCTTAGCATCCCCATAGTAGCAACAGCTGTTCCAAATAGCCCTCCAGTGGGAGCTCCGGTTTCATCAACTAGTCCCGAGGTATTGCCCAGCCAATAAGCAGATATTATAGCAACACTTATAACCAAGACAGGAAGAGCTGTTGATTCCAGACCCAAGCTGACCCCAGCAATTATATTGGTCCCGTGACCAGTCGAGCTAGCAAGGGCCAACGTCCTAACAGGCTCATGCTTATAGTCTGTATAATATTTGGATATCCAGACAAACGCATAGGCTGTGATGATGCCAACCAACCCACATAGAGCGAAACTGAACCATGCAGATGGAGCTTGTTCAGTGTACAGCAACCAGCGAGTGGACTACAAAACATAAATTATGATGTCAGAAGAAGATTAAAGAAATAGAAAGGATTTCTCTAGATTATATGTGCATGTGTGCGTAAAATCAATGAGAAATTTGAAGCAAAAATAATCACGAAAATCAGCATTGATTCTCGAAAGAATTATTACCGCGCCAAAAGTTAAAATCGCTAATATAATAGTCAGAGAATATCCTTTCTGAAGTACAGCCATCGGATCCTCTACCGGAGATTTAACGCTAGCATCACGTGTTCCCTTGATTGATAATATACCAATTGATGATATTATCAAGTCAAAAGAATGAACAACTAGAGGAAATAGGATAAAGCCTGATGGATCTGCGTAATACATAAAAGTTCAATTAAACACATATTATATCATTTAATTCCTAACTTCAAACTGCAAAACCTTTTATACTAATTCAACCACCACTGCTAGAAATGGCCAGGTGATTATATCTATAAACTTGACGCAGTCACTAAAGATGACATGAAAAGTAGTCTTCCTTCAATTTTAACACCATGCTTACTCAGATTCATACAACGTATTCTAAACTATAAACTCTATACAACTATAAAGCGTAGCTTGTGTTTCCGACAACAAGTCTACATAATTTCTTAGGGTTACATTTCAATTATAATCCTAAATGTCCTTTTGATTTTATCAGCATAAGTCAGGAACTGAAACCATATATCAGATATATTTATATGTTAGAAGTAACTTTAAAGAGAAATCTCCTACAAACCTTCAATTTTGCACTTCTTAGCCATTGTTCCACCTAGTATCATAGCACTGATAATTTCTGCAGCTATACTTTCAAACAAATCAGCACCTCTGGCAGCACAGTCCCCCACATTGTCTCCAACCTACAGAAGAGGAAAATGCTTACTTATTAAGATTTGAATTTGACGGGTATACTGCGGAGTGTACACTGAACATACACAGTAAAAGGGAGAGCAAAAAAGGACAAAGATTGAGTACCAAATCAGCAATAACAGCAGGATTTCTAGGATCATCCTCGGGAATACCCTGCTCAACTTTTCCGACGAGATCTGCCCCAACATCAGCTCCCTTAGTGTATATTCCACCACCCAACTGAGCAAATAAAGCGACAAACGAAGCACCAAAACCATATCCCACGAGAAGAAGAGGCACTGTAAAGATATAGAAAAAAATCAACCAACAAACCTAACAAGCCAATAGATCATGGAAAATATACAGCTTTCAGCAATGAGATTCTACGAACACCGTTTCTGGTTGATGGTATAGGGTTGACTGCTCAACCCAGTTCATAACATAATCAAGAAAATATCACTGAAAATGATCCTTTGAAAAGGTAAAAAAAATAATCTTTTAAAGTCAGCACGACGATGTATACATATGCAGACGTGATGAAAAATGTAACTAACTATAATAGAAAGCAGAACAGAGGACTTACGGTCATTAACACTCATTGCGCCTGGTGAATCCACTCCCAACCAAACATAAAACGTGGAGTAAAGGATTGCGATACCAATCACAGCCATACCAACAACAACCAGGGCTGAAAACCCACCAGCACGAACGGCTATCTGCATTATATCTACGTCTTAGTAATTGTTGATATGTGTACGTCGTACAAAAATAACTATAATAAAAAAGAACCTGCAGTGCTTCTCTCGCAGATCGTCTAGCAGCACTGGAAACCCGCACATTAGCACGAACTGACACCCACATTCCAACATATCCAGCAATACCTGAGCATAGCGCCCCCAAAAGAAATGCGGCAACAGTAATATAAGCAGACATCGCCCTACAGTAAACAGTAGTATAAGCTAAGTATCATTCATTAAAAAAAAATACATAACTTGTGTATTTAATCATGCATATTCACCTTCCTAAACCAGCAGCCTCTTGCTGGGGAGTCAAGTTACGGAATAGATATATGCAAAGAATCACAAAAGCTAGCAAGATGGCCATCTTGGATATGGTACTATACTGCGTTCTGAAGAACCCTTCAGCTCCATCACGTATAGCATCTGATATCTATAAGTAAAAGAATAAACTCACAAATTAGAATTAGAAGGGAAACAAAAAAGAGGCCAACATCATGATTAACACCACAGTGAGCTTACCTGAACCATCTCTGGAGGCCCTTCATCTTTCGCTAAAACCCACTTGGTCAGATATATGGACAAAAGGAAGCTGAAGATGCATACTATGAAGACGAACAAGATGATAGGAGAAGTACTAGCTCCCATGTAAAAGATCGCTCCAAAGCAGAGTAGTAGAATTATTGAAACAACACGAACATTCAATTTCCTAAGAATCCGGAATATCTGCAACAAAAAACACCAAACTCTTTACAATCAGAAATCTAAGAAGCTAAAAAAAAAAAAAAAAATCATTAAGAACATCAACAGAATCGTAATGAACAGACGAAAACCAATAAGAAAAAGCACTAACCAGCGGACTGTAGGTTTTACTACGCATGTTAGGAAAAGCCCTAGGCCTGTCATTGAAAGACATCAAACTGGCCTGCTCAACATCTTCATCCATCATCATGTTTTGAGCTGAATTCGCCTTCCGGACTATAGGCTGAGGTGTAAAACCAGTGCTACGGGGTAACTCACCCCCAGAACTTGGACGCTGAATTTTTGATATATACTACAAATATTCTCCCAAACGTTTAACACCACAAGTTAGAGCACAAAACCCTCTAAAATTCAATCTATATCTTTGATTCCAGCTTCTTCAAACTTTCTTGAGTAAGAGCTCTCACAAGAAGTCTCCACCACGATCAAATCTCCTGAGAAAAATAGAAAAAGAGTATTAATTGCTGATGATTCTCTTCACCTACCGAACTAAAATTTTCAAATTAAATTAAATTTCATCTACAAAATAAATGCAGAGATGACGCAATTCACAAACAGTGCATGAGACACCGAGATCTAATCGAGTGAGATTTCACTGTAGAAATAAAATACGACGCATCCTACTTAATTTTTCTAACGCCATTACTTCAATCACGTTAGATCTAGCTTCCATACTAATACAAAATTACATGATCTAGACCTAGAAATGAATGCGTTCTGCAAACGAAAGTTTTCGCAGAAGCAGAAGAAGAGTGTATTATCCGTAAGCAAACCCTAAATCGAGAAGAGAAATTACACGGTTCCGGGGGGGGGGAGTGATCAGAAGGAAACCGCCACTAGCGAAAGCTTGTCCTCGCCGAAGAATCTCTCTCTCGCTCTCGCTCTCGCCTCTCCTTCTCTGTCTTTGTCTCCGATGACTTTTCAGAGAACTTTCCGAATATTCTTTTTTTCTGTATTTTCCTAAATTAATAAATTTTCACTCATCAGTGGTTGAATTGTAATTTTCCGGGTAGTGACACACCTTATCCAATAAGAAGCTGCCACGTGACCACTCTACTACGTTACTGATTATGGCTCGTAACGTCGAACTATTAAAAATGTAACTAATAGGCCCATCAACTTTCAAATGTTTGCTTGTCGGCCTAGCCCAATATATTTGCTTAATCCGGCCCATATAGATAATAAGAACAACCACTAACTTTTTCATACTTTAACAAAATAAATCTTTAATTTTCTCCTCATTTAAATATGTTTGTTACTTTATAAAATAACATTAAAAATATAATTATCTTTTATGATACATCTTTTTGATGTATAAAGATGTATCAAAATAATCTAATGAAAATTAATCTATGGATTTAAAATATATAGTTTTAAACAAAAAGTATTTATACACTATAAATCTAGAAAAAAAAAATTAAATTAATAAAACATTATGACAAGGTTGGAAATAAAATACATTATAATCTCACTATCATTATTTTATAGAATATATAATGTACAACACAAAAATTCACAAAATGACTGCAGCACAGGGAATTACAGAGACTGTCTCATGTTAATAATTGAAGGAACCAGAAAAGCTACACCAAATAAGAAGACATGATGTTCCAACTGATCTTCATATGACTAGGCATTGAAGCTACAAACCTCAACAGATCCGGCTTGCTCGTGATCCCTGGGCGAAGCGGATCAGTTTCATGTTGGTTCATGACATGGAGAAACTTGGCAATGTTTGGAAGTACCATTTCACGGCAATGCAGATGCAACAAAGGAACTTTAGATAAGACACTTCCCTTTTGGATATCAAGACCTTCTGGTCTACGCAGTTTATACGGTTTCCCAGTGGTTGGCTCTATATCAACTTGAGGCATCTGTTTCCATCTCTTGTGGATGAACCAACCGTACTTATAGTCGCCTACTATTGGAGTGCCAAGAGCTTCAGCACAGTGTACACGTAGCTGTTTTGAAGAAAGGTTAGTTACTTCATCAAGAGGGAGGAACAAAGACAAGATCGTTCACAAGAGGATAGTGAAAGTAGTACCTGATGCTTTCTGCTAGTAATAGGACGAAGTTCTAACCATGAACATCCGTTGATCATAGGTCCTAACACTCGATACTCTGTTATTGCTTCTTGTGAAGCCTCAAAGCATGAACCTTGAGCTAAAACCACCCTGTCTGTTTTCCCCTCATCCAGAAGCACCTAAACACAGTTTTTTTTTCCAATCATTTTTCCAGATTCAGGGATCAGAAGTATAATGAGAGAAAGATACCTTTGAAAGAGGAGCTGAAATTACTCCTTCCTTGTCTTTTGGAGAACCAATCACCAGTGCCCAATATTTCTGATACATCGCTTCACAAGCTTTGTTCCAAGCCTATGATTATGCAGTATTAACAACATTATGCTCAACCTTTCCTTTTAAGGCCGTAGAGTGTTGTGTTAGTACCTTACACCTTGAGTTTCTCCCTTTGAAATCACTGAACACCGAGTGAAGATGATCTATACTTTCTTTGGTTCGACCCATTACTAAGAGACCACTAGTTTCCCTATCAAGACGATGCACCTGACCACAGAAAGCCATATAAGATTTTCAAAAAAGCAAAATTAAGTTCCCCAAGTAAATGGTGAATATGTGAGTTTACCAATCTAGGACCTTCATCGTTACCATAAGACAAGGCTGCAGCTGCAAGCACATCCATGCTGTTATGTATAGGCACATGCCCCTGAAAACAAACAATGACAAATGATTGATTAATCAACAAGAGAATGTAACAGCTGGAAGGAGCAAAGAGAAAACTCTATTACCTTGACAGGAAGCTTAGGTGGCTTATTAAGAACTATAATAGCAGAGTCCTGCATTAAAAAAAAAACAAAAGGTTAAACCAAACCAGAACGAACCAATCTCTGTAAGAGCTTAACCACAATATGTTACCTTAAACCTAACAAGCCTCTGAAGATAAGCTATTTCATCTGCGTTGGGATACAAGGTACCACTCGGTATAGTATCAAACCTCTTAGAGATTCTACTTTCAGCTACTGAAACAGGCAACCAGAGCCTATCTCCTACTCTCATCACTTCGTTATGCTTAACCTGTGTACAACTACTAACAAACTCAAATCCTAGAAAAAAATGATCACACTAAGATCAAAACTTTAAACCTTTCTCATGGCTCTAACTCCATCTTCTTTCTCCATCTCAACCTGCCAACAAAAGAAGCAAATAATTATTCCCCTCTGTGAGTATTAAACCAAAACAAGATTTTGATATTTTCAGAAGTGTTACCAGGAGAAGAGACTCACAAGGCCCTTTGTGAAATGAGATTGGATAGTCTTATCATGAACTTCTTCAAAATAGTACTTAACCCAGCTTATGGCCGTGACGTGGCCGTCATCTCCGTTAACTCCGTTTTTGCAAGGTAACGGATGACCCGGGAAAGGAGGTAAAGACATGAGCTGACGTGGCAAAGGTCCCGTCTTTGGAGGTCCTAAGTGTGATATGTTGTTTGTTACTCGGATAACCGCCGGTTGCGGCGGAGCGATTCTCGAGTACCGTCGCGTCGTTGTTGATGAGAGGTAGACGTGATGGGAGCTGATGAAGCTAGCGATCGTCTTGGTCTTCCACATGGAGAGGTTCTCTGTGTTTAGAATCAGAGCGCCGGCGAAACGGCGGGTAGGTTCCGGCGGATGAAGAGGAAGAGATAACTAACTAATGAGAGTTTTAACTCTAAATGGGCCTGTTGGGCTTTTATCTAAATAGGCTTTCATGGATCCATTAAGAATCTCTCCCAGTTGTGTGATGTCTGTTATATTTCAAAGCATCACCATAACTTTTGTGTTTTTTGGCATTCCACTGATTCTATAAAAGTAGAAGGCTCATATGCCTCTTACCTGAAACTATCACTAGTGGTAATGTACCATATGGTTACAACAGAGCAAAGATTTCTAAAAAAATACAAAAAGATGATATATTATTGTGAGAAAGTACAAGTATCCCCCAAATAGGTTTTTCCAGAAACATTTTGAAAACAATAATATAGCTTATTGAACTGAGAGCGGTACATCAAAACCAAATACAGTCACTTTGGCTGCACCCTTATTACAATGATGAAAACAAACAAAGAATCAAAGCATATTACACAGCACAGCTCAAAAATAAAAATAAACCGACCACTATGATATAGTTTGTTGGCTCAAAAAACACAAGAGATGCTTTTGTGGAGACTCCTCTGACAAGTCTTAACGAGTTTCATCCTCCAAGGCACGGAATCCTGCATTGAGATCCTCGTACAGTTTCTTGAATTTCGCCACAAGAGCCGCCTCACCTTCTGCTGGATCTTCGAACTTCTGAGACCTGTTGTTTCCATAGATTGTGACATCTTCAGTTTCAGACACATTTCACTAGAGAAGCTATATAATGAGTGATTCATGGAGAAACTGAAGTTGCTTACACTAAACGGTAGAAAAGATCTCCCAAGCGATGCTTGATGAGGGTGTAAGTAATCTTTTGACCGTCCATTCCAGCTGCTCTTTCAACCGCCTGTTGTATCACCACCAACATTCGAGACCGAGTTAGTATCCGGACACTTACTTGCTTTCTAGACAAACCGATTCGCCAACAGAATACCGACTTAACAAAGCATCTTATTACCTGATTAGCTAGGTTGTAGAAATGGATAATGTTACGCATCATCCACACAGACTTGTAGAAAGGGCAGAACTTGTCATATCTGTCAAAGATCCATCCCAAAACATTAAAGAGTAAATAACCCGTTGAGAGAGAACTAAAAGCAAAACGAAGGGAGACAACAAAATCTTACGGTGTGAAAGCGTTTTGAGCAAGGTAGTCTTCTCTCAATAGCTTAGCTGTTTCCAAAGTGATTTTGTCACCTTCTGCTAGCGCATCTTTTCCCACAAGCTGCACACAAAGTGTAATGCACAGGTCAAATAAGAGTGTGTTTTTTTCTATAACTTGAGTCGAATTAAGTAGTCACAACGTTAGGTAGGTTTACAAGGATATGTGACAAGTACCTGGACAATTTCATTAAGATCATCTTCCCTCTGCAAGACCTCTCTGGCCTTTGTCCTGATGTTGATGAAATCAGGATCGAACTTCTCATAGAAAGATTCCAATGCCTGAGAAAACCAAGCAACTTTTTATATAAAACAAGAACTTCGAGATAGTATACCACAACAAGTTTGACGAAGAACGGGGTGTGTAAGCATACCGTTGAATACTTTGAGTAGGAAATCAACCAATTAACAGAAGGAAAATGCTTTCTCTGGGCAAGCTTCTTGTCCAAACCCCAGAAGACCTGAAGATTGAAAAAACAAAAATGGAAGAGTAAGCACTTCAAAGTAGAGAGAAAAAAGCTAATATAAACGAATCTAAGAAAAGTAACAGCCATGAGATAGATAATTTACCTGCACAATACTAAGGGTTGCAGACGTCACAGGATCTGAAAAGTCTCCACCAGGAGGTGAAACAGCACCAACAATTGTGACACTTCCATCACGCTCTGGTCCACCGAGACATTTCACTTTACCAGCACGTTCATAGAAAGATGCTAAACGTGCTGCTAGATAGGCAGGGTATCCACTGTCCGCAGGCATTTCAGCCTAGAAACAAAACAAAATATTACTTAGAAAAGGACTAGCACTGTAGCAGGGCAACACGAAAATACATAGAGCAAAGTGTGAAAGCAAGACATTACCAGACGTCCTGAAATTTCTCTCAATGCTTCTGCCCAACGGGAAGTTGAGTCTGCCATCATACTAACATTCATTCCCATATCTCTAAAGTATTCAGCGATGGTGATTCCTGGAGTTCACATTCCCAAGAAAAATTAGGATCGTAATTAAAAAAAAGTTTCTGTGTGATTTATGTCATCAGAAGATGTGATATGTGCTTCTTCAGAAACTATTAGACCTCCAAGCCTGAAAATTACCTGTGTAAATTGAGGCTTCACGAGCAGCCACAGGCATGTTAGAGGTGTTGGCAACCAATGTAGTACGTTTCATGACAGATTCCTCACGACCATCAGGCAACGTCATTGTCAATTGTGGGAAGTCCATAAGCACCTAATTTATGAGAAACCATCAGACCAATTATTTTTTTTGATGTGTGATCAATACGCATATTCGGAAGGAGAAGAGGCATACCTCAGCCATTTCATTTCCTCTTTCTCCACAACCAACGTAAACGACAGCATCGGAGTTGGAGTACTATGTATATAATAGCACATTAGCTCTGGAAATTTGATATATAAATAATTAAGTGGAGTAAAATCCAAGTGTCACAGCCTACCTTGGAAAGTGCCTGACTAATAACAGTTTTACCACAGCCAAAAGCACCAGGAATAGCACAAGTTCCACCAAGAACCGAAGGGAAAAGAGCATCAAGGACACGCTGACAACAGGAAAAAGAAAGCTATCAGCAACATACATCTACGAATAACTATGACCACTGTATCAGATGTTATCACCTGTCCCGTAAGTAGAGGAGTATCAGCAGCAAGTTTGGATGCAACTGGCCTAGGCGTACGTACAGGCCAGCTCTGACATATTAATAAACAAACAAATTTTACAAAGTGAACGAATATAGCTAAACGTTTGCGAGTAGGAAATTAAACATGCGTTCAAACCTGAAGCATGGTGTATGACTTCTTAACCCCCTGGAATTCAAGCTCTAGCACTGTGTCCTGGTAAAGGAAAAAACATAGTCAAGCAGCCATGAGAAGAAAGTTTTCCAACAGGAAGTAGTTACAATAGAACAAGTCAAACAATAAAGAAAAAGAAAGAGTTATTCAAACCTTAAGGGAATATTGACCAGCTGGAGCAAGGTAAGTGATCTTCCCCATGGCATCAGGAGGAAGGGCAACGCGGTGAGTCATCAAAGTGTTCTCAAAGACGGTCTGCATTCGAAATTTATGTTTGACAATCAGAAAGAAGAAAAAAAACTATTTCAATTAGATTAAGGAGGTGGCCAACAAACTTACAGCATACAAGTCACCACCAGTTATAGTGTCTCCCTCAACTGCAACCAACCCAAAATCCAGTTGACATCAGGATTAAAACCATATAAACACTAACATAGAGAGAGATAAAGGAAGTAAAACACATTACCAAATTCATTAGGCTGGAACTCCCAAAGACAATCTTTGTCAAGAGCTGGAACAGAGACACCACGAGGGATGTACACATCACCAGATCTTTTCGCAATAGTCTTCAAAGGCCTCTGTGATATATACATAAAGAAAATTGTGAGACGCCACAGTGTAGAGACTAATGTTATAACAAAACATAAAAGTCATAAACTTAACACTTCACCTGAATTCCATCGAAGATGTTTCCCAATATTCCTGGTCCAAGCTCCACAGAAAGAGGCTGACAAAAATTCAAGACAAAATCTATTACTGTTAGCAGCAGACAAACAACCCTAAAGAATAAAAACCAAGATAAAGAAGTAACGAACCTTGTGTGTACGTAGAACAGGATCGTTAACAGTCAATCCAGCTGTCTCCTCGTACACTGATACAAAAAAAAAATAACCTCAATCTTTCAGAAGGCCAAGTTCAATCTAGATCCAAGTCTTTGAGAGAGATACAATGAGCAGTAAAGTCAACCACGGTAAGAACAAAAAAAACCTTGGATGGTGGCGGAATCTCCTTCAAGACGGATGATTTCTCCAATAAGATTATCGTTACCAACACGCACTAACTCGTACATAGCAGCACCAGCCATACCATCAGCCACAACGACAGGTCCTGAAACCTGCATCGCAATTACTTATACATATCACCAATCTCATCACCAAAAAAAAAAGAAATGGTCAAATCACTGAGAACTATCAGATCAGATCAGATTTTTTTTTTTTTTAAAACAAATCTACTTCTCCCACCAATCTCACCTTGTAGCAGATCAAACTAACATTGAACAAGGAAAGAACAAAGAAGATACCTTGCGAACGTAACCATACTCGCTCTCCTTCTCATCATCCTCGAAGGTAGTGAGCTTTCCTCCGTAAAACGCCGGCATTCTCTCAGCAAAATTCAAATCCCGATCAAAAATTTCACCTGGCGAGATCCGATCAAATACAGTCAATCAGAACTCTAATCGAGATCGGAGATCGAGGTTTTTGGATCAGAACAATTTAATAAATCACAAAGAAACAAAAAAATAAATATATCAGAGAGAGATAGAGAGATCCTGACCAGTGTAAAGACAGGAAGAGTGGTCAGAAGAAGGAGAGATAGAGGGAAGGCACGTTGTTGTAGTAGAAGTTAAATCTGACTGATTAGATCGTGGAGCGATCCTCTACGTGACTGTTCACACGTTACGGTTGTGGATTCGCCACGTGACCGATTATTTATGGGCTTTTTAATATCTATTTAAAGGCCCATTATGTGGGTCCGTGTTTGATGTTTCTGTGTTCTTTCATGTTTGATTTGCTTTTGCACTTTCATGCCTTCTCTCTCTCACTGCAGTGAAACTTGTTTTCAATGATTTTACAACTCTATAACTTCTCTTTAAGGGATCCACCATTGGTATATTGCCTAGTGAGAAATGTAATGATATTCTTCCACCTCCACACCTTATATCTAGGCAGATCCTTCAGTGTGGTGACATGCATTGAACAAAACAGTTTGCAAGTGGACATGGGAGCTGATGCGAATATAGATATATATACACACGATTCAACAAACTGTTATGAAGAAGATTACATAAAAGAGACACAACGCCCTTTTTTATTGGTTTTCTTTTTTACATTTCAGAACTTGATAGGATCATCTCATGTCTCTGTAAAAAGGTTTGCTTACTCTCTACTCTGAGTCTAAACCATGTCACGTCTTCACATTCGCTCTTGGTGGTTCAATTCTTCTTTGATCCGCGTTCTTAAAAAATCAACAAATCTTGAAGAGTCTACAAAGTTTTGACATTTGTTTTTCTCATCAAAGGCCAAAACTTAGCTTAGTCAACTATAAGTCATTTTAAGTGCTTTCAACAAGTGAAATCATGGATAGAAAGTTATATAAGAGATCAGCTCAAACTTACCCAGACAATGGTTTAACGCGTTTTTTGTTTGTTTAACCTTCCTCCTCCTCAGAGTGAGATGCAGTATTTGAATCCATCTCTGTCTCCACCGATTCAGGCTGTACACCTATATTACAAAAAAAACAGACGCTGATCAGGTTTCTAACAATTGCTAAAGAAAAACCTTAACACTTGACAAAAAAAAACATTACAAGATGCCATCAAGGAACACCATTTTGTCTCTAAAATTTGCAAATAAAATACGTCATAGACCATTATCTTCTACGAAAAGAAAAAAGAAAAAACAGTGATTATTTGACAAGAACCAAAACGCAAGCAACAAGATAACTAAACACTCTATGTTATTACTGAAGCTGGTCACCCATTTCCATCACTTATATTTAAGACAACGACAACTCTAGAACAGACAAAACCAAATCAATATCCGTTTGTTCATCAATCTCATTAAACAATGCCAGAGAGCTATACAAACCGTTACATACATAATCATCAGAACTTTATATATCGATAAGCCAAGACAAAAACTCTGCAGATTATAGCTAAAAATGGATCCTTTATATATATATATAAAAAAAATCGAAAATTTATCAAGTCACGAATCTGAACACATTCAAAAAATTATTCATTTGTATACCAAACGCAATCACACGAATAGCAAAAAACGATCAAACAAAAAGAAAAATAGAAAAAACCTTTGATGAAGTAATCAGAGGAAGGCCACCCACGACCCGTTGAGATAGAGATAGACTCCTCATCACCAATCGGATTCGCCAGCTTCTCAACGAGCTTAGAGATCCCATGAGTCTGCGATCTACGAGGCGGGACCCAATACGAAGCACCGGGAAGGAAAGGTAGCCAATCAGGTGCGGCTCGGCGCACCATTATCCGGTGCACAGCGTCCTCCAGCTTCTGAGAAAGAGGATCCGATTGCGATTGCGACTGCGACGCAGCGATGTCGATCTCAATTAGCTCCCCGAGGTTAGAGCGGCGATTGGAGGATTGGGATCGGAAGAAGATGGCTCGAGATGAAGGAAGGAGAGAAACCGCGGCGAATCGGCAACGAGAGAGAGAAAGTGATGGAGACGAAGATCGAGCCATTGTAGAGAGATTAGACGAGAACCGTGTGTGTTTGTTCTGTTTTTTCTGTTGCGTAGAAATTTTTAGGACAAGACTTAAAAAAGAAGATATGTTCGGTGTGAACCAAATCGATAACCGGCTTTTTAATTTACCAAACTTAAACCAAAAATTTGGGTCAGTATATGAGAAAAGAACTCTCAACTTGTGATAATTACAGTTTAGACCCTTATGTTTAGAAAGTGTATATAAAACTCTCAAAACTTGAACCAATAACGATTTCAGTTTGGTTCGGGTCAAAATCATAGGCTTTTAATATCACTCCGAGCTTATGATAATTACAGTTTACAGCCGTATGTTCAGAAAGTTTTTTTGTTGTGACGAGTTTAGGATAAGATTAAGAAATGATAATGTTCGGTGAACCAAATTAAAAACTGATTTTTTTATTTACCGAACTTAAACCAAAAATCAAGCATTTAGTTTGGTTTGGTTTGGTTTGGTTTGAGTAGTAAATGTAAGAATAGAACTCCAAATTATAGTAATTATAGTTTACACCTTTTTTTGAACAAAATTTTATGTTTAGAAAACTTATAGAAAACTCCAAAAACTTGAACCAATAACCTAATATTTCGGTTTGGTTCGGTTCATTAATAGCACTCCCACTTGTGATAATTACAGTTTATATCCGTATGTTTAGAAAGTTTATATAAAACTCCCAAAACTCTCTTTTCTAATAAAATTAAGACAGGGAGACAGCGAAAACAAAACAAAAACAGTGTTCTTTCTTTCCTCAGTCGGTTGTCCAATCAAAAAGTAAAAGCCTTTAAGCGCTTAGAGAGAGAGAGAAAAAAAGAGAGCGATTGAGTAACTAACTGTTGCGGCGGAAAGGGATCGAGAGATCGGAGGATCCAGACGACGGAGAGAGAGAGTGAGCTCTAAGGATAATGGGATCTCAGCTACTCCACTGTTTCTTCTACTGTCACTCCTCCTCCAACTACTTTCCTTGATTAGATACTCTCTCTCTTTTTTTTTATTTCTTCTTCCCAAAGAGAGACTTAGACTCTTTCTCAGGTTCGAATCTACACCTGATCGTTTATTTTTTCCCTTATTGGATTTATTTTGATCACTTTATTCCATTTTGGGGATTTAGGTTTTGCTTTTACCTTTTTTTTGTTTGCGTTTTTTACTACTTATGGATGTATATGTGAGATTTGCTATAGAACCTGCTTCTGAATCACTTTAGATCTTACTAGGTTTTTGACATGAATTAATATTACTGATTTTAGAAACTATTATGTTTAGGTTTTTAATTTTTTTTTTACTTGATACTCTAGTTATGTTTGGTTCCTCTGTTAGATCTGTTACTGATGTAGGATCTGTCTATATAATGCAAACCAGTTCTCTATCTAAATTCTGACTATGTCTTCTTGTTTCAGTGTATACTATTACAAGTTACATCTTTTGTATGCAAAACCTGTTATGTAACTATGTTTCTCATGGTTTTCTACTGTTTCGTTACGTTTCAGCGTTTGTTTGTGGGGCTCACCTCTCTGTAGCTAAATTTGGTTCCTTGAAGAGATCAAATGGGTTCGAGATACGCATCTCACCAGCTCAGCAATGGGCTGTTTGTGTCTGGTAGACCAGAGCAACCCAAAGAAAAGCCTCCAACTATGAGCTCAGTAGCTACACCCTACACCGGTGGTGATATCAAGAAATCGGGAGAGCTAGGGAAGATGTTTGACATTCCCACAGATGGGTCAAAGTCTAGGAAGTCTGGTCCCATAACTGGAGGTTCTTCAAGAAGTGGACAGCAGCCTGGTCCGGGTGGGCCTAACGCAACTGGTCGTATGTCTGGCTCTTTAGCTTCTGCTGGGTCGAACTCGATGAAGAAAACAAACTCTGGACCTTTGTCTAAACACGGGGAGCCTTTAAAGAAATCATCTGGTCCTCAATCTGGTGGTGTAACACGGCAAAACTCCGGTCCTATTCCTATACTCCCAACCACAGGTCTCATCACATCTGGTCCGATCACTTCAGGCCCTTTGAACTCATCTGGGGCTCCTAGGAAGATCTCTGGTCCTCTAGACTATTCTGGCTCGATGAAGACACATCATCATAACCCTTCTTCCGTTGTCCACAACCAGGCGGTAACTACACTTGGTCCTGAAGATGACTTTTCCTGCATGAAGAGCTTCCCTAAGCCTGTGCTGTGGCTTGTTATACTTATATTTGTGATGGGGTTTCTCGCTGGAGGCTTCATTCTCGGAGCAGTTCACAATGCTATTCTCCTCATTGTTGTGGCGGTCTTGTTCGCAGTTGTTGCTGCGCTGTTCTTTTGGAATGTGTCTTGTGAACGACGTGGTATCACTGATTTCATCGCTCGTTATCCTGATGCTGATCTTAGAACTGCTAAAAACGGTCAATACGTGAAGGTCACTGGGGTGAGTATTATCTAACTAGGCTTCTATTATGTTTATGACATTGGTTTCTTATACTTTGTTTTGTTGAAAAGGTTGTCACCTGTGGTAACGTCCCGCTTGAGTCATCCTTCCATAGAGTTCCTAGGTGTGTTTACACGTCTACTTGTCTATATGAGTACCGTGGATGGGGTTCAAAGCCAGCCAATGCTTCACACCGCCGCTTCACATGGGGACTGAGATCAGCAGAGGTTAGATGTTATTTCGTTTTCACAGAAAAAAAAAAACGTTCTCTTTCAATGCGTGATGTCTCTAAACTTTGTATCTACAATATATGGCAGAGGCATGTGGTGGACTTCTACATCTCTGATTTCCAGTCTGGTCTTAGAGCATTGGTGAAGAGTGGAAACGGTGCAAAGGTAACACCTATCGTTGATGATTCTGTTGTCATAGACTTCAAGCCAGGAAGCGAGCAAGCGTCTCCAGATTTCGTAAGGTGGTTGGGTCAGAAGAATCTCTCCAATGATGAACGAGTAATGCGGCTAAAAGAAGGGTATGTTAAACTTGGAAAAGAGTACATGTTTGGTCTCTGTGAGTGATGATACTTACCCTTTCATTTGCAATTGCAGGTATATCAAAGAAGGGAGCACAGTGAGTGTGATAGGAGTGGTGCAGAGAAATGAGAGCGTGCTGATGATAGTCCCAACGACAGAGCCATTAGCTGCTGGTTGGCAATGGAGTAAGTGCACGTTCCCGGCAAGCCTTGAAGGAATTGTATTGAGATGCGAAGATTCATCAAACGTAGACGCCATTCCCGTCTAGTGAAGTTAGTAGTAAGTCCGTCACACGGTTGGTAGACGAAAACCTCACTTGTCTCACTTCGGCTTCATTAAATATTTCTCATGAAATCTGAAATGTGTTCTTTGGTTGGTGGCTTTTCACTCTCTACTCTACTGATGGTGATGATTCCTTTGGTTGTTGGTTTTATTTTTCTTTTACCTTTTAATATCTTTTATTATTTTATATCTGAGTAACATCTCATTAGGTTGATGGTTGTTGATTACTTTGCTATGACTTTATTTGTGTTATGGTTTGTAATTGTAAAGTTCTGAACTTGTTGTCCTAATGTAATGGCTGACTATGTCTATGTCGTTTCTTTAAGATTCATCAACCTTTTGTATATTTGCAAAATATAAAAGTTGCAGAGCTTATTATTAGAGACAGTAGAGAGGCACTTTTGATTCAACGAAACTTTGACAAATTGGTGAACGAGTCTCAGAACCTATTAGTAATGATACAATAAGAACAAGCAAAACATAACTTTGATGTTGATATAGATTTCACCAAATCCAAATGTAATGTTATTTGGATGAATGAGATTTTTTCACCACTCCCATCCATCCATCCATCATGCGCCGCTTGCGTAAAGACGGGTCCATTCTTTAGCTGCGCAGATAATTTTAAAAGAGGGATGGTGTGAGATGCCAACACAAGGGGTTAAAGAAGTATAGTTGTAACGAGTTTAAGTAGAGTGACATGGTTTAAATCAAAACATTACCTGTCTCCACAGCTTCTGCCTCATTACTCTTCCAATGCTTAGCGATGTTCTCAGACAACGGATCATCAGGGTTTGGTGCACTCAGAAGAGCTTGAATACTTTCAGGACAACACATGAATAGAATCAGAAAGTAGTCCCGCCTCATGGAAACTTATATAGGGTTGGAGAGAATCTAATGGAGTCAACTCAAAATACCTTAAGAGCACTGTTCGTATTTGTAGAGCAGGGCTCCACTTGTCTTTCAGAATATCAAGACAGATTCTTCCAAGCTGTAATGCAAATACACAAGTTTGTGAATAAAAATGTGTTTTGTTTTGTGAATGGCTATTATTAAGGCAAAAAAAAAAAAAAAGAGTTAGAGCAGACCTTATCAATGTTAGGATGGTATATCTTGGTGAGAAACCTAACCTGTACCAAGACAATTCTCATTACAAGAACCCACAAGTATTGAAGTATAAAAAACACACAACTCTCTGCACAAACCATTTCCATTCGAACCCAGTGACAAAACCTATTACTAAAAGAGAAACAATGACATTTGGGTCTGTCATAATCCAACCAGAAGCACCGTTCCCAAATATCATTTGGTGCATTTACATATATATCCCAACAGACAAATTTACTTATGTTCGAGTCACCATCCGATGCCAAGGATGCATGACTTGAGAACGATATAACATGAAACTCTAATCCAAGAAACTAAACTTACCTTGGGGGCTGACATAGGGTATTCTTCAGGCAAAAAGAGCTCCAACTTGAAAACTCCACCTAGACAATGGAAAAAAAAACGATAGCGCATATATCACTCAGTCTCAATAAAAGAATTAAACTTTCGATAATGAGCAAGCTCCATTCACAGGAGGCAAAAGAAACGTGCAAGTTTATATATTACGCAGCAGCACGAGGATACGAATAAAGTAAAAGTCGTAACAAGCAGCTCATAACACTATTAAAAATCCATAAAATCAATTTTCAGCTTTTCTTCCAAAAAGAACAATCTACAAGACTATTAGCAGTAGGCGTTGTAACCTCAAAGCAGCAATAAACTGAAACTCAGATATTATCAGAAAGACTCCTTCATTACTTCAACAACAAGTAAGAATCTTCCAACATTCAATTCAAAAAAAAAAGAATCTTCCAACAGCTACACATGTGTGCACTTACTTCTTCATAAGAACAAAAAAAGTAGAAACCCCACTAAACCAAGCAATTACCTTCATAAGGTGACTGAGAGGGACCAAGAACCATAACGTTGAAGTACCTCATGTTATCCTCAGACGGAGATGCACTTATCCCTGGAGCTGCAACAATCAAAAAAAAAAAAAAAAAATCACATTTTTAACTTAACCCAAAACTTGATCAGATTTAAGAATCATCAGCTGGAATGGAATCAACAACACTTAAAAAAACTAAACAAGGTCAAAAGAGCTTACCCGGTTCGCTTAGCAGACGTTGCGTTTCCTATCATCAATCAGATATCACAAGAATCAGTAGTAATCGCCAAAATCAAATCGGATCGAAACGAGATTGGAAAACAAACCTTGATGATTCTTCGGGGTAGATTACTATTGGCCATGCTCTCAATTCAATTCGATCGATCAGAGTTAGGGTTTACAGAATCTGACGACGTGCTCCTCCTCCTCGATGAATTCGATTCCTTTCTCTACTACCTTTTTAGCTTAATTAAATACTTTCCCTTAAAAACTTTGTATATTACTTGCGACCCCTTAACTTTATATATTTATCATTTCTTGCTTTCAGTTACATATTTGTCCTATGTTTTACTAGATATCACTTTTATGTTCTTTTTAGCTCACACCCTCTAACTTTTGTTTGTTCACTAACCTTCCCTCCAGTTTTAACAATCTCAAATGTTTTCTTTTTGTATTACAAATATTCCCTCTGGTTTTCTACTACATATCTCTAAGTTATAACCCTCAATTACTCGTGTGTCCAGTAATTTTGTTAAATAAGATTTTTTTTTATATAATATTATTTTTTTTTGAATGAATGTTAAATTTCTTCATGCAAAAACATATTAACATCGTAGCTATTTTTAAAAATCAATCTATGAGCCTGACAAGTGAGCTTGGCTTCGACTCGGCTCCAAAATACTTTTTTAAAAAATATATATATTTGGATTTGTCAGCAAGTTCTCGGAGATTACCGTCAACTTTTTGACAACATTGTGCTAGAGCTTCACAGCGTCTTGTATCTATCCGATATACGACGACGTTTGCTTGTTTAGTGGCTAAGGTTTTGTATCCCGGTTTTGTCTTGGTTTTTTAAATTCCAATTTTTGTAAACCGCTTCTAACCTCCAATAAGGATGGTTTATATATGTATTAGTATTCCAACACTTGTAGTCGTTGCCACAGTCATGGTTAGGCAACTAAACCGGGACTTCGGTGTGGTTTAGTTGAGCTTGGCTTCGGCTCGGCTCCAATATACTTTTTAAAAAATATATATATATTTGGATTTGTCGGCAAGTTCTCGGAGATTACCGTCAACTTTTTGACAACACTCCGCGTCACCTGAGGGACTGGCCCAATGGGCTACATTACAAGGTTAAAATTAAGTTTCGAGAAGGCATGCTATAAATCCGCTTATGGGCATGGGCCTTAAACAAGATTTTCACTTTATCAGAATTAGGTTTTCTTATGACTCCACCTCTATGCCGCCGTCTCCAAATAACGACGCAGTCAATCTTTCCATCTCTTCGCAATCAATCTTTCCATCTCTTCTCCCCTTCTATTCAATGGCTACCAAACTCAACCGTGAAATGGATTTCATTGAGGCCGTATACATTTGCAGATGCGGCTGTGAAACATGGCTCGTGGTCTACTCCAACGGCAGGGCGTATCTTCGTGTTTTAGCCCACTTTGACTTAAAAATATTCTTGAACTTGTTAAACCATATCAAATCTTGTGTTCAACCTTTGTGTAATCTAATCGCATCTCACAAATAAAAAATTGTCATATTACTGGAAAATTACGCTTTACAAGACATCATGCATATGGAAAAAGCTAAAATTGATGTAGGAGAAGAAGAGGATTATCTATACATGACGATGATTATCAATGCATGAGGATTGCAAAAAAAATCTTGTGTTCAACCTTTGTGCAATTTGGCATCATTTTTGCTAACCTTCTTTAAACCTTAAACACTCATTTACTAAGGGGGTGTTATTCAATTAGTGATTTAAAACAAATTCTAAATATTTTACAATCTATCAAATTTTAAAATTTTAAGATTGTTAAAGTTGATGGATTCTAAAATCTCTGCAATATCCCTTGAATTTTGAATTTAACCATTTATTCATTAGAATCCATCACCAATGATTTGAAATCCATTTATATTACAAAGAATTTTAAAATCATTAAAAGTTGAATAACACCAGATTTTAAAACCTGAAATTTAATCATAGATTGAATAACACTGAATTTTAAAATAGAATTTAGAATCATCAATTGAATAACAATGGATTGCGTTTAGATTTAAACTCTTTTAAAATACATGATTGAATGACACCATCTAATAGTTTCGTTTTCTTACACGCTTATCACATACATCATGTCAGCACCAGTGATATAAAACAAATTTCCATATTGTTTTGAATATTATCAACTCCTTTTATAATTTTTTTTTGTTTCATTTGATAAGTGAAACATCTATAATTACAGATTTTAAGCAACAAACAAATGAAACCCAACGAGTAGATCTGAACGATAAACGAATGCCCATTACATATAAGAACTATGTGCTTTTCTCTTCTTCTTTTTGTCACAATGAGAGTGATTTACTATGAATGGATATGGCTGCCATGCTTACATATAAGATCTTCTTCGTCATGTTTGCTAATGGTATTTAAACTCTAAGAGAAAATTAAAAAATAAATAATTGTTGGATTAAAAGGTATTTTTGTGGAATATGCTTTATAATTAAAAATTTTAGATAGTCGGATAGAAAAATCTGGATGGTTAGACTAATAAGATTTTGGTAATTCTGTTAAAACAAAATCGGGTCAAACCCACTTGCATTGGGTAAAACCGATTGATACAAATCATAATTTAAAAAAAATGTAGTGGCATTCGGCTGTAATAACAAAAGGACACTCTCAAAAAATAATTTTGTTTTACTAGTATAGATGATTGTATTTTTTTTTGGCTAGATAGTTAATAATGAGTTATTTCCTAACTATCTGACCCAATTTCCCTTAAATAAACCGCTCTCCTCCCATTTCAAATTAATTTAACTAACGTCGTATGCATAGGTTGTTCAAGAAGATGGTAAGTAAACCATGAAATTTTTTAAAATTGATAAAATATGTCTAAATTTTAGTTATTATCTCTTGGTAAATAACATTTTTTAGTTATATGTTCTAAGTTTATGTAGAAGTTGCCCCCACCAAAAAGTAATCCTACATCCACCACTGGTCGTATGTAATAGTACGAAGAAAGAACCAAGAAACTATAAAACCATGATATAATATCCTCGTCCAAACTCTCCTCCAAACTCCTGTAAAGGCTGAAATTTGAAACTTTTTCTTCAGGCAGTATTATCTTTCATATTCCTTCCAACTTCTCAGTGCTCCAAATCCAAACCCAAACACAGGAACGGTTCACTTGGTTTGATTTCTTTGACTAAACCGGATTAGATTTTGGAATCCAAACCGAGACCTTAATTCGCAAGAGGGATATCGGATATTTTCAATAAAACGGGTGGGCTTTTTCACCCGTGTGGCCCATTAAAAACCTATATAAATAATCCTCTTATTGTCTCATGTTTGTAATCGAATCTGATAAGTTTATTGTTTTCCCGTTGACTCGTAGAAACTTAACCTAGGAAAGTAAGTTTTCTTTGATTGGGGAATTTGGAATTCAATCCATTGATATATTTATATAGGCCCCGTAGAAACCCTAAGTTTGTCAACAATCAACATGTTCGATGACAGTATGATCAATCCTAAACAAGCAACCCTAATTTATAATCGAATCCATTGTTTAATTGTGATTTGGAATTAATCCATTAATCGATGATTTAGATAGAGACCCCGTAAATTAGTGTAGGAACCCTAATCTTGGAGGTGGGCTCTGTTTTAATTAATAATAAGTATTTTTTTTGTGTGTGTCAGATAAAATGGAAAAATTATTTCTGGAAGAAGAAGAAGAAGACTGGTCTATCACAAGCCTTGTGGATAAAAACTGGTGTATCCCAGAAATTCAGGAAGCAAGGGTAAGAATGGATAAAATTGACCGTGAGAAAGGGAGACCCCTGAAGACGAAGCTCCCATTATCGAACTTATCTGGGGCTGAATTGAGGCAAGAGGCTGTAAGAATGATAGTAGCACTTGGTCTCTATCCTGAAGAAGAGATTCAGTCTTCTCATCACAGAAAAAGGTTCGTTCACTCTTCTCTTTATATATTTCTGTTTTGCAAACTTTTGATTTATATATTTCCTGATTTTTTTTTATATTTTTTTGGGTAGACAAATGGGATGCAAGGACAAGAACATACTCACGACGGATCATCGTGTGACGACGACAGGTAAAAGTTATACTTACATCATCTGAATTGTTATTATGCAATCAATCTGTATGCCTCTAAAACCTACCTTTCTTTCCTCTCCAGAAATTGCAGAATCTTCAGGAGAAGAAGGCATCACAAATGAAACACTTGCAAACACACCCCCTGGTCCAGATGAATAAACAGAAATCATTCCCTTTGTACGCACCTTCTTTTCTTTTGAATAATTGTCAATGAACTTGCTAGCTCTTAATTGAGATTTGTGTTTCTTCAGAGAACAAATCATATATATATTTTTTTCTTCTTATTTTGTCAACAATCAATATGTTTGATGCAGTATCAATCCTAAACTATAGAGACTGTTCAATGCAGTCCATCTTTGTTAATTTCTCTATTCTCAACATTGTCTCAGCCAGTCGGAAAGTGTAACATCATTTTCACGTTTAGTAATGAAACCATTAATCAAAAAGTTAAGCAATAGAGTTTAATTTCTTTGTTTATTATTATTATAGCCTTGTTCACAAGAAATCTTGAAGAGGAAAACCCCATGTGTTGAGCAAAGACTAGAGACTCGACAGAGACATTAGCTTTACCATTATTATAGCTATGTTTACAAGCAATTATCTCTCTTCTGATTCTTTTCGCAATACAAACTCTAAATATCTCGAAAAGCTTGCTTACCTCGATGTACTTGTTGGCATCAATAACCAGAAACAACACACACTTGTGTCTAATATGATGACGTTTACGGTTGTGTAATGAATACAAACAATGATATATATTATTACATTTTGTATATGTTGTTGCCTATGTGCAGAACAGTGGCTACTTTCATGCCCTACTGCAACGTTTCTGGCCCCTTCACCCCTCAGGACAACAAAATAAACACAACCATTTTCATTCGAATCCAATGTTATAGAACTGTATATACCTAAGACTAAAAGAGAAACAATGACAACAAATGTGACATTACATTCGGGTCTGTCATAATTTAACCAGAAGCACCGCTCCCACAGATTATCATTTGGTGCATTTACAAATATCCCAAAAGAGAAATTTACTTAGTAACTAGAGTTTTATAACTACCCTTACTTATTATATACCACACTATTATGTTTTGTTTAATTCAGTCCATAATAGAATAAGTAAGTACTTTTTCTTTAAGGTACTATTTCTACTTCTCAAACAATGAGAAGAGATGTGGTCTCATTTTCTTAACACGAGTTGGCACATGGACTCAGAAGATCAATCATAAAAAAAGTTGACCTAAAAAAATATTAAAGCCTCGAGCAGCCGAATAAGACCTGTCTTACAAGGCCCCACACACACCTTGCAAGCCGCCGGGTATTGGGTTGGGACACACATGAACACCGTTTCCGGTCATTATCCGTTTATATTTTTTTCTGTAAAGCACCTTCAAATTTTCTCTAGTTTCTTTATAAACGAGTGGCAGATTCATTTAACTAAGACAAATAATAAGCAACGACTAATTATTATTATCTCTATTTTATCTCTCTCTGTATATAAATGTATACGAAAATAATTAGGATAGCTCTCTCAAATTGCATGTATTTAAAAATTTTGAATTCCACGTATGCTACATTTAGTAAAAAATGATTCAATCATATCCAAAGAGACGATAAAAATCGACCACGAGCATCTTCCCGGTCGCTTATATTAATAAGAAAGTGAATAGTCGGCCATACCTCAAATGTATGATTTTAATTCTTAGTGTTTAATAAAACAGCTCCCGAACCATTTCGAATTAATTTAACTAACGTTGCATGTACTACACGAAAGAAGAAACTATATAATTACAACCCAACAAAACAATTATAATAAATATTGACTGCTTTGTGAATGAATGATACATGTCATGTTTTTGTTGTTATTTTACACCTGAATATAGTCGATAAAACATATACAAAGTCCTTTGACAAAAGACAAATATACAAATTCTTTAACTATAGAAAATATGACGTGTTTGTAGAAATTAATCTGTAACTGTTAAATCACTTACTGACTCGAAATAGATGAATCCTAAACCATATGCTTTAACACCTTAACTTGAATATTGTTTCATCAGAGATCTCATTGTCAATCGTTGACATGGAGATTATCAAACCGTGCACGGGTTAGCATTAAGTTCAAAATAAGCTCTCTAGAATCATCAGAACAAAACCATCAAAATCACTAGATTATAGCCAAGCAAAAACCAAAAAGTCGTCTAAAAGACTCTATTATTAAGACATTTTTAAAACCAAGACCGCCTTGGTTCCTATAAATAGAACCTCACTTTATACCCCACAATCAATACACACACAACACATTAAAAATGAAACTCTCAATCACATTGGCTCTATGCTTCACTTTCCTGATCGGAGCACAAGCCAAAGTCCCCGTCGACGAGCAGTTCCTAGTAGTCAACGAAGGACTCTTCAGCGACTATAGTCCCATCGAATACAACCCCGACATGCGTGGCTTCCAACCCTTCAACGAAAACTTCCGTCTCTGCTTCTACAACACAACCCCAAACGCATACACACTCGCTCTCAGAATCGGAAACAGAGCTCAAGAGTCAACTCTCAGATGGGTCTGGGAAGCTAACAGAGGCACGCCGGTCAGAGAAAACGCAACGTTGACTTTCGGTGAAGACGGTAACCTCGTACTCGCCGACGCCGATGGTCGCCTTGTCTGGCAAACGAACACGGCTAACAAAGGTGCCGTGGGAATCAAGATCTTGGCGAATGGCAATATGGTAATATACGATGCCAATGGAAAATTCATATGGCAGAGTTTTGATTCTCCTACCGACACACTTCTTGTCGGACAATCACTTAAACGCAACGGTGCGGCCAGTCTTAAGATTTTAGAATTTACTTTTAATTTTAAAACATAATTTTTAATTTTAAAAAATAATTTTTATTTTTAAAAAATAATTTTTATTTTCAAAAAATAATTTTTATTTTTACAAATTTGAAAATTCATTTCTAATTAAGTAAATTATATCTTTTTTTAAAAAAAAAACGCAAATTAATATTTTATTTTTCTATGCTCAGGACGGAACAAGCTCGTAAGCAGACTATCTCCATCGGTTAACACAAATGGACCGTACAGTCTTGTGATGGAGGACAAGAAGTTAGTTTTATACTACACGACAAGCAAAACTCCGAAGCCTATCGCTTATTACGACTACGAGTTCTTCACCAAGATCAATCAGTTACAATCCATGACGTTCCAAGCCGTGGAAGATTCCGACAGCACGTGGGCTCTACTTATGGAAGGTGTGAACTCTGGCTCTCAATTCAACGTCTCAACGTTCTTCTCACGTCCGAAACACAACGCCACGTTGAGCTTCATTAGGTTAGAACCAGACGGTAACCTTAGAGTTTGGAGTTACAGCACGTTGGCGACTTCAACAGCTTGGGACGTGACCTACACGGCGTTTACTAACGACGATACTGATGGTAACGACGAGTGTAGAATCCCTGAGCATTGTTTGGACTTTGGTTTATGTAAGAAAGGTCAGTGTAACGCTTGTCCTACCGACAAAGGACTTCTTGGATGGGACGAGACTTGTAAGACTCCGAGTCTCACAAGTTGCGATCCCAAGACGTTTCATTATTTCAAGATCGAGGGAGCTGATAGTTTCATGACTAAGTATAACGGTGGCTCGGCGGCAACGGAGAAAGCGTGTGGAGACAAGTGTACGAGTGATTGTAAGTGTTTAGGGTTTTTCTACAACAGGAAGAGTTCAAGGTGTTGGATGGGTTATGAGCTCAAGACAATGATTAGAACCGGAGATGCTTCGCTGGTTGCTTATGTTAAGGCTCCTAATGCTATCAAGAAGTCAGTTCGTTGAGGTGTGTGAGACTCATAGTGTTGTGTGTTTTATAATAATGTCAAATATGGTTTGTTAACTATGATGAAAAAGTGTAGTGATTCTCAACCGACATCATAATAAAGTGAAATGAATGTTCATCAATTTCCGTTATATGTATATTTTTGGAAATTATGTTTTCAGTAAGGCACGTGATCATGCGCAAGGAAACATCTAGTAGGTAGATAATTTGGAAATATCCAAGGAGGGTTTGTTAACAAATATGAAAACGAATAAGATACGTGCTAAGATGATTCCACCTTATCAGATGTGATAGGTTTTTATTTGTGTCTAACTCGTAAGATTTTTGTGGAGTGGCCCCAGTCAAAGCTTATTATTAAAAAATCAATTTAATATTTCTGTATTTAATTTAATTTTATACATTTACTTAAAAATATATGTATTTATACATTTCTGCTCTTTAAAATTTTAATATTTATGTTTTGATTTGTTTTTCGGATATTAAGTGTTTATTATTTGATTTTTTTCGAACCTTTAATATATCTGAATTTTTTGGATGAATCGAATCAGAAAACTATATCCATTTCTCTATATATATGTATAAAATTAATCAGGATAACTATATCAAATTGCATGTATTTGAATTTTGTATTCTACCTATGCTACACAAGTCAAAAAATGATTCTATCATGTCCAAAGATACATCTTTGCTTGCGCTCCAAGTCACTAAGTATTTTTCCTTCACATATTAGACATGCATTGAGGAATCATAACCTACAAGGTACTTGTTTGGAGATTTTCAATCGATTGCTAGAATTGTGTGTTTTGATGGTTTTTTCTTTTCTCACAGTTGGACAACCTACGCCACATTGCCGATGGAGTAATGTCAGATGACATAGGTCTACTACGGAAGTCCATACATAAACTCAAGTTGTGGGTTACTCATCCCAACGCTTCTATTGATAATATTGTTCAGACTAGCATGGTTCCCCGACTTGTGCAGCTTTTCTATATCGATGAGTTGCTGGATAGCGTAAGAAGCATCATGTTCTTATATAGATTCATAGTAATTCTTTCGATTTGTTATTTGGTTCTAGTTTCCTATATTATTTTAAGTTTGAAGCACTCTTGATACTTGGGTACCTGACTCTCTCCAGGAACACGACTATGCTTATCAACAACAATGTACTTCCAATGTTTCTCGAGCTTCTCCACTATGATAGGGAGGAACAGTTTACTGGTATGACTTAAAAATATTCTTGAACTTGTTAAACCATATCAAATCTTGTGTTCAACCTTTGTGCAATCTCATGGCATCTCACAAATAAAAAATTGTCATATTACTGAAAAATTACGCTTTACAAGACATCATAGATATGGAAAAAGCTAAGATTGATGTAAGAGAAGAATATGATTATCTATACATGACGATGATTATCAATGCATGAGGATTGCAAAAAAATCTTATAACTTCTTGTGTTAATGTTATTGAAGATGATTATTTGCTAAGGACATCTATGAATCTCATCATTAAGTATGTTCCACGACCGGATTACACACGTGTTGGTCCGACGGGTGAACTAAAAATGGTGAAGTGAGAATGTGGAAATTTCTGATTGGGGTTTGTTTCTTTTATATTTTTTCATTTGATGGTTTTGCATAAACATAATTGTCTATTGATTCTGTTATAGCTTCTTTGTGTTGATGTTATTGAAGATGATTATTTGCTAAGGACAGCTGTGAAATATCATTATTAAGTATATTCCACGACTGGATTACACACATGTTGGTCCGACGGGTGAACTAAAAATGGTGAGGTGAGAATGTGGAAAATTTTGGTTGGGGTTCGTTTCTTTTATATTTTTTCATTTGATGATTTTGCATAAACATAATTGTCTACTGATTCTGTTATCTCCAGCCAGGTCTGACCCTACAAAAATAAAGGCTACCACATGGTGTTGAACCTGTCATCTTAGGATAACTTAATAGATAGTTTGACCATTTTATCTACTTACACACTTTAGAAATAGGCCGAAACATTGGTTATTTTATTAAGGACCAAAATCGGATATGTTTCTAATGCTTATGCCAGGGTCGCTACTGCTCCAGCTGATACAATTTGACATCTTATTTGCTAATACTTATATCTATTTACGATGGTCCAAAAAAGAAAAAAAAAGTTATAGATAATCTTCGCCCCTAAACCTTAAACACGTATTTTCTATTAGTATAGTTTCATTTTCTTACACGCTTATCATTTTAACTCATTCCTTTATAATTTTATTTTGTTTCAGCTGGTAAGTGAAACTGCGATGCAACAGGTAGATTTGAACGATAAACGAAGGCCCATTACATATAAGAACCATGTCCTCTCTTTTATTTGGTCACGATATGATGAGATTACATGAATAGATATGGTTCCCTTTACAATTTTCTTGACACAAGTTGGCACATGGACTCAGAACATCAATCATAAAAAAGTTGACCTAAAACAATGTTAAAGCCACGAGCAGCCGAATAAGACCTTTCTTGGCCCCATACAACCTTGCAAGCCGCCGGGTATTGGGACACGCATGAACACCTTCAAATTTTCTTTAGTTTCTTTATAAACAAGTGGCAGATTCATTTAACAAAAACAAATAATTAGCAACGATCAATTATTATTACCCTTTCTATCTCTCTGTACGTATAAAATTAATTAGGATAACGATCTCAAGTTGCATATATATGAATTTCGAATTCCAAATATGCTACATGAATCAAAAGATGATTTGATCAAATACAAAGAGACGATAAAAATCGACAACGAGTATTGCTTATATTAAGAGAAAAGTTAAAGGTCGGTCCTACCTCAAATGTATGATTTGTCTTTCTCTGTGTTTAATAAGCAGCTCCCCTACCATTTCGAATTAATTAAACTAACGTTGCATGTCGTACAAGAAAGAAGAAAATATATAATTAGAACTCAACAAAAACAAGTATATTAACTATTGACTAAACATGCCATAGTTTTGTTAAAGAGTATTTATTTAGTTTACACCTGATCAGTAGAACCGATAACAGACATATAAATTCTCCCCTTCTTTTATAAGCAAAAACATGAAATGTTGTTGGAAACAAATCTGTGATTAAGTTCTACTACTTCTGAATATATATGTTTTCTTAAACTACCCTTATTGTGTCAAATCACTCTTACTGGCTTGTAAAAGATAAATCTTAAAATCATGCTCAACACCTTAACTTGAATATTGTTTCATCAGATCTCATTGTCAAACGTTGACATGGAGATTATCTAACAGTGTACGGTTTAGCATCAATTTCAAAGCTAAGCTCTCTAGAATGCTCAAAACAAAACCAGCAAAATCAAATAGTTTATACCAAAACAAAGACCAAAAAGTCGTCTAAAAGACTCTATTATTAAGACATTTTTAAAACCAAGACCGCCTTTGTTCCTATAAATAGAACCTCACTCTATACACCTAAAACACACACCACAATCAATAAACAACATATTAAAAATGAAACTCTCAATCACACTAGCTCTCTGCTTCACTTTCTTGATCGTAACACAAGCCAAAGTCCCTGTTGACGAGCAGTTCCGAGTAGTCAACGAAGGAGGCTACACCGACTACAGTCCCATCGAATACAACCCCGACGTACGTGGCTTCCAACCCTTCAACGACAACTTCCGTCTCTGTTTCTACAACACAACCCCGAACGCATACACACTCGCTCTCAGAATCGGAAACAGAGCTCAAGAGTCAACTCTCAGATGGGTCTGGGAAGCTAACAGAGGCTCACCGGTCAAAGAAAACGCGACGTTGACTTTCGGTGAAGACGGAAACCTCGTGCTCGCCGACGTCGATGGTCGCCTCGTCTGGCAAACAAACACTGCTAACAAAGGTGCCGTGGGGATTAAGATCTTGGAGAATGGCAATATGGTAATATATGATGCCGCCGGTAAATTTATATGGCAGAGCTTTGATTCTCCTACCGACACACTTCTTGTCGGACAATCACTTAAACGCAACGGTACAGCCAGTCTTAAGATTTTAGAGTTTACTTTTATTTTTACAAAAATACTATTTATTTTTAAAAATTTGAAAATTTATTTCTAATTAAGTAAATTATATCTTAAATTTTTTTAAAGAAAAAACACAAATTAATATTTTATTTTTCTATACTCAGGACGGAACAAGCTCGTAAGCAGACTGTCTCGTTCGGTTAACACAAATGGACCGTATAGTCTCGTGATGGAAGACAAGAAGCTAGTTTTGTACTACACGACAAACAAAACTCCGAAACCTATCACTTATTATGACTACGAGTTCTTCACCAAGATCACTCAGTTACAATCAATAACGTTCCAAGCCGTGGAAGATTCCGACAGCACGTGGGGTCTACACATGGAAGGTGTGGACTCTGGTTCTCAGTTCAACGTCTCCACGTTCCTCTCGCGGCCCAAACACAACGCCACGTTGAGCTTCATTAGGTTAGAACCAGACGGTAACCTTAGAGTTTGGAGTTACAGCACGTTAGCGACTTCAACGGCTTGGGACGTGACCTACACGGCGTTTACTAACGACGATACTGATGGTAACGACGAGTGTAGAATCCCTGAGCATTGTTTGGACTTTGGTTTATGTAAGAAAGGTCAATGTAACGCTTGTCCTACGGACAAAGGGCTTCTTGGATGGGACGAGACTTGTAAGACTCCGAGTCTCACGAGTTGCGATCCCAAGACGTTTCATTATTTCAAGATCGAGGGAGCTGATAGTTTCATGACTAAGTATAACGGTGGCTCGTCGGCCACGGAGAAAGCGTGTGGAGACAAGTGTACGAGTGATTGTAAGTGTTTAGGGTTTTTCTACAACAGGAAGAGTTCAAGGTGTTGGATGGGTTATGAGCTCAAGACAATGATTAGAACCGGAGATGCTTCGCTGGTTGCTTATGTTAAGGCTCCTAATGCTATCAAGATGTCAGTTTCTTGAGGTGTGAGAGTCATATGCGTCTATTGTGTTGTGTGTTTAATAATGTCAAATTTGGTTTGCTTACGTTTATGAAAAAAAGCTGTACTGCTTCTCACGCTACACCATAATAAAGTGAAATGAATGAATCTAAGATATATGAATATTTTTGGAAATTAAGCTTTGACAGTACGCACGAGCCCATGTGGATGTAAACATTATTTGGCACGTCAAGTAATTATGGAACCTGATATGTCATTTCCATAATAATAATAATATATCTGTATGTAGATAAAATTAGCATCCAAGAAGGAGAGTATATTAACGGATATGCTTCAATAAAACGAACAAGATACGATCGATGTGATAGGTTTTGTTTTGTTTTGTTTCGTAAGATTTTGCCGACAGGCCCCAGTGAATGCTTGTAACTACACGTAAATATATAGCCACGTATGTGTGTATTTTGGATTAATATTAATGAATATGTTTTTCTACGACGTCATTTGGTTTACAAATCCGTCTTATTTCAAAATGATGCTGATTTCCCATCAGTATCATTTGATAGCTTTTGATTTATAAAGAAGTCAACTTGCAGTGCCAAGTGGAGGTTATACCTTTTTATAGTTATCCATAATTAAAGCAGGTGCGCCATGGAATGATTTTTAATTTACTAAGTGGGGATTATGCAAAAGTTAGTCCATATAGAAATGCAGTAATCGCACTTAAGAAGATGCTCTAAAGTTGCTTTCGTAAGTTTCCCGAAAAAACAAAGTTGTTTTCGAGTAATTATGATGTTCAAACCACTCCTTTGCAAAATTATGTCCCTTCTTCTATTTCAGAGTTGTTGTTAATAACGTTTCTCGCAAATTGTTGAACCTAAATATTTAGAATTGGTGACTATCTTTACAAAAGTTATTCTCTCAGAGCATCTTCAATAATTTCTTATCCCTTTATTTTTAAAAGGTTTTGTGTTCCAACACTTTCTTTTGTATTCCAACAGTTTCTTATCATATTATTTTTAAAAGTATAAATAATATACTTTCAAATATAAGAGGGCATTCTTCATCCTCTTAAAACATTGTTTTTTTCCCTTTTGGTCTCTACAATTATACATGTCTTACAATCGCATGAATAACTTTTTAGATATGATATTTTAGTATTCATCTTTATATTTTCTTAAAAAGTATTTTGATTAAAAATATTATTAACAATTTTATACTGTTTATAGTTATATTTTTCTATATGTTATAATATTTTTGCAAAAATATTTTATTTTAATATCTTTTAAATCGTATGTTTTATTAATTTTTGAAAATTTAATGATAAAATTTAATTATTAATAATTGAGGACTGAAATATAGTACACAAAATTAAAATAAAATATTTGAAGGCCACAGTTAAGAAACCATCATTTTATCTCTTTATTTAAAGTTGTTCCCATGGGCGAATCTAGACTAATTTTATACTGGGTGCATTATTAATAAAAAAGCAGAAATACATGTAAAGGAGAGATCGTACTTCAAACATAGTGGGTGTATGAAGCATTTTATCATTTTAGCTAGGAAAGTGTGTATGATTTTGTGTATAAATTTACAAATTATAATATTCTACAGTTGATTGACTGCCTTCGGTTTTGGCTGTTTTCCCTTTGAAATGAGGGGGATTATTGTAGATGATCTTGTTAATGAATACATTCTACTTGCGTTTGTGTTTTTCCTCTATTGTTATTTTTGATATGTCGCGGATTATTACTTCTTTAGATATATCATAAATCTCAAGATCCCATGTGTGTAAGTGTAAGTTTATATCGCTGTCAAGCGAATCATTACGTTTCCAAGACGTTCCTCAGCTTGCAAGTTCTCGTTCGCCTCTATTGAAGTTTATCACTTTATTGTGGGTATCAAGCTCATATTTAGGTTCCATACTTGGTCCAGTTTTACATGGCCAACGTTTATAGTTTTATGATTTATGTCGTCTTGGGTCTATTCAATATCCCGTAATATTTGGGATCATCTTTGTCAGCATTTATTGTTGGCATTTTATTGGAGACACACGTAATAATACCATACATCTATTTCAGCTAGACAGCTGCCCTTAGATGCGTGTACTTCAAAACCACGACTTTGATGTTTTGTTATTACTAATGAATAACATATCATGTGGTCTTTTCAAGACTAAACCCACAGTTTTGATGCAAAACCACAAATACAGAAAATCACGATTGAAGTCTTCTAGAAAACGATATTATGAGGGATATATATTCAAAAATATGGTAAGAAAACAAAATTTATTATATACTTGACAAAATAACTGATATGCTGTTAAAAAGTGTCCCATGACGATGATTTTTGATAATTATAATCAAAAGTTTCTTTTGTCTTGTCATGTTAGAGATTATTGCTGTTTTTTAACAAGATTCTTAGGGGGTGCAAATTTGATAAAACCCATAACAAAAATTCTCAGATAAAAATGTTCATTTTTCACACATGGCAATTCACAATTAATTAAAAAAAAAAAAACAGAGTAAACGAAAAAAAAACAAAAAAACAAAGAAATTTAGCGATAATGATACCCTTACTACATATTAGACACATAAACCTACCAAACAGATGATTAATATTTGCCGACAATACAATGTCAATAATTTTGATAACGTTGATATTTTGTCAGCAGTTATTGTTGATGGTCTTTGATATATGCGACGAATAGATCTAAAAGCATCCGTGAAGCGGAGAAACTGCTTGTTCTAATCATCTCTTTGTAGGTACAAAAAGCTGTCCCGTCTCCTTATGCAACCACCATCACTATCAGGCTCAGTGCACTGTCTTTTGATGTTTGTCTCGTTAAATAACAGATTCAATAATTAACTTAAATTATTTGATAAGTTTTCATGTTTAGAATTTGCCTAAAAAGCTTGCGTTGTATTTTTTTTTTTTTTTTGCTAGACTCTAACATTAGCTATATTCAAACAACTTCAAGAGTTTATACAAACAGGATTTCGCACGAATAACCAAAACGAAAACCTTATAAATCATCATCATCATTATATGTATGTATGGTTTATAATTTATAAAAACTTTAATTTGTAAAAGAGGGAATATTCAGAAATTCTCAATAGACACAAATTAACCTTATCCAAAAATCATTACGCAGTCGTCAGCCCCACTTGTACAGCACGAATTTGAATGAGATGTATATAGTCAAGTCGTAATATGCAACTTTGACTTTTCAAACAAATACAGCCAATAGAAACTATATATAACTCACAAACCCAATCTTATTACAGAACCATATCAACACTCCACTACTCAAAGCTCAAAAAAAAACAATCATGCTTCGATTTTTTATCTTAGCACTCGCCATTGCCACTGTTTCAGTGGTCACAGCTCAAGTCCCACCAGAGAAACAATTCAGAGTTGTAAACGAAGGCGAGTTCGGCCAGTACATCACCGAGTACGACGCCAGCTACAGATTCATCAACTCACCCAACGCAAGCTTCTTCACAAGACCGTTCCAGCTCTTATTCTACAACACTACACCTAGCGCCTACGTCTTAGCCCTCCGTGTCGGGCTCAGAAGTGAGGAGTCACTCATGAGTTGGGTCTGGGACGCAAACCGTAACAACCCCGTCGGTGAAAACGCAACTCTCTCGTTCGGACGCAACGGTAATTTAGTCTTGGCCGAATCAAACGGCCAAGTCAAGTGGCAAACCAACACGGCCAACAAAGGCGTCACTGGTTTCAGTATCTTACCCAACGGTAACATCGTGTTACATGACAAGAACGGTAAGTTTGTTTGGCAGAGTTTTGACCACCCCACCGACACACTCCTCACCGGACAATCACTTAAAGTCAACGGAGCTAACAAACTTGTTAGCCGTAAATCCGACATGGACGGTTCAGATGGTCCGTACAGTATGGTTCTTGACACCAAAGGCTTAACCATGTACGTTAACAAAACCGGTCAGCCGTTAGTATACGGCGGATGGCCCGACCATGACTTCCGTGGCACCGTTACATTCGCCGTTACAAGAGAGTTCGATAACTTGACGGAGCCGTCAGCTTACGAGCTACTCTTAGAACCCGCACCACAACAGACGACAACTAATCCAGGTAACATGGTCAGCTAACCGTGTCCTCCATTTCTTAATAATTTAATGGTCCCAATTTATTTTAATATATACATTTTTATATTAAACTATTGAAAAGGGTTCAATTTTTATATAAATATATATATTTTTTCTTTTTGACATATTTTTTTCTTTCTAAAAACATTACTTATGATTTTTTAAATAATTATTAAAAAAATCAAGTAAATATCAAATATTTTTTTTATTGAACCGGTCCTGCAGGTAACAACCGCCGGTTACTCCAAACCCGACCCATTGGGAGCGGAGGAGGAACACTAAACCTGAACAAAATCAACTACAACGGAACCATCTCATATCTCAGACTCGGCTCAGACGGTAGCCTCAAGGCCTTCTCGTGGTTCGACCCAGCAACATACCTCACATGGGAAGAGTCCTTCTCTTTCTTCTCCACTTACTTCGTCCGACAATGCGGCTTACCGTCTTTCTGCGGCGACTACGGTTATTGCGACCGTGGAATGTGCGTTGCGTGCCCTACGCCCAAAGGGTTACTCGGATGGAGCGACCAATGCGCACCACCTAAATCGACGCAGTTTTGTAGTGGAGGCAAAGGTAAGGCCGTGAATTACTACAAGATCGTCGGCGTTGAGCATTTTACTGGGCCTTATGTTAATGATGGACAAGGCCCAACTTCTGTGAACGATTGTAAGGCAAAGTGTGATCGTGATTGCAAGTGTTTGGGTTACTTCTATAAGGAGAAGAACAAGAAGTGTTTGATCGCTCCTCTTCTTGGTACACTCATCAAAGACGCCAACACTTCTTCTGTTGCTTACATCAAGTATTAGTGTGTTTCACCTGTGATTTATTTTACCATATGAATTTGTAAGAGATTTAATGAATAATCGGTGTGTTCTTGTAATGATTTGTTAAAATTCACCGTTTAATAACTGTATTACCTTTGATAAATTACATTTGATAATCGTCGTGCTATTATGAGTATTAATTATGTCTATAAGTTTATTTTTGCTCGTGTTAAGATAGAGAAAAGGAATATTGAGACAACTCGATATTTTTATACATTTACACATTGAGACAAAAATATACTTGTTTTCCGTTTTTAGAACATGCATTTAAATGGTTTTACATAAGAATATCGAGACAACTGGCTATTGTTGTACATTTCATAATTCCAGCTATTTCTGATTTGATTTGATTGTCATAGAACCATTTTTTATGCATTCGACTGATTAAACTGTTTTTTCTTCTTCTCTGAATAAGAAAAAAAAAACTAACGAAGTATGGATTTTCGCTGAATGTAGAGGACTCAAAACATAGGAAAGTAGGTAGTAATGGATTTTATCATAAAACAAGGAATCAACAAAAGTTATGTTATCATTTTAATACTCACATAAATGTTGGATAATGTATGCACCCAGTTAAATTTCTAATTATGATTGGTTAGTGCCCCTTAGTGGCATCTAAAAATAAGTAAACAACTATCCTTAAACATATTAAAATTAAAAAATATAAAAATAGGTAGATGGCAAAACTTAAAATACATTATATATCCAGTAAAATCAATTACCGGTCCTTTATAGTTTGATTTTCCTACATGCACGAGTAAAGTATAACGCAAAGTATAGTAGAACCTCTATAAATTAATACTCGATAAATTAATAATCTCTCTAAATTAATAAATTTTACCGGTCCTAACTTGGATCGGTTCAAAATTTGACACAAATCGATAAAATAATAAGATAATATTTTTTTAGAAATTTCTATGTAAATATATGGTCCCATTAAAATCATAAATTAATAATTTATATTTATACATATTTTATATAAGTAATAATCTATTATTATATTGTTTATTTTATATTTACAAGGAAATTCTCTTTATATTTTCTTAACACTTAATAAATTGTCGATGAGATTTAGTAATATTATATCTAAAACCATATTTAAATTCTATGAAATATATATTATATAATATAAGAAATTTAATATAAATGTCAAAATTCAAAAAATGATAATAAATACCTATACCCTAAAATAAAATATTTTTCTTATTTTAGAATAAGTATATCTTAAAACAAAAAAAATCTAAATAAAGAATCTTTGGTAAATTAATATCTCTATAAATTAATAAAATTTCAAAGTCCCGACATTATTAATTTATAGAGTTTTAACTGTATAATGAACAGCTCTACCGATCATTGTCCGTTTATCTTTGTAAAGCACCTTCAAATCTTTTTAGTTTCTGTTTCAAGTGGCAGATTATTTCCACAAAGACAAATAAAAATAAATAGCAACGATTAACTATTAGCTCCCTTTTTTTTCTCTCTCTCATATGAAAATATATATAAATGAACTGTTCTTAGATTAATTTTCTCACCTGCTTCATGGTCGTGCTGGTCTCCTCTTCATTGCTGCTTGTTTGATATGGTCTCTTCTCTTCTTGATATTGTTGAAACCACCAGCGAGTCGACCACCGGTTTAGTGGAATCAATGCTATTATGTTCTACGCACCGGTTTTGTTTCAGACCGTTGGCTTTGGAAGTGACGGAGCTCTTCTCTATGCGGTTATTATCACCAGAAGCATCAACGTTCTTAATTAGTAAGTTTGTAGGGGATCTACCTAGTCAATAGAACTGGCCGGAGGTTCCTTCTTTTACAATCTTCCGTTCACATGCTCGATTTTAAGGCAAAGTGTGATCGTGATTGCAAGTGTTTGGGTTACTTCTATAAGGAGAAGGATAAGAAGTGTTTGATCGCTCCTCTTCTTGGTACACTCATCAAAGACGCCAACACTTCTTCTGTTGCTTACATCAAGTATTAGTGTGTTTTACTGTGAATTATTTTATGAATAATCGTTGAGCTTGGTTAATGATTTTGTTAAGTTTCACCGTTTTTTATTAATAATTGTATTACCATTGTCTTTAATCTAAATAAAAGCCATTGTCTTGATAATCGGAGGACTATATGAGTATTAATTACGTCAATGAGCTTATTTTTGCTCGTGTTACGATCCAAGAAAGGATATCGATACAATTCGATATTGTACAATTTTCATATTTAGACAAAAATATAACTTGTTTTCCCTTTTCAGAACATGCATTTAATGGTTTTACATTAAGAATATCGCGACAACTAGAAAGAATATCGAGACAACTTGATATTGTACATTTCCATATTTAGACAAAAAATACTTGTTTACCCTTTTCAGAACATGCATTTAATGATTTTACATTAAGAATATAGAGACAACTCCATATGGTTTTACATTAATTCTGTTAATTAATGATTTGATTTGATTCCGTGGGACCATTTTCTATGCTAATTACTCTATATTCTTTTTCTTATTTGAATGAGTAAGAAAAACACAAATCTAACAATAATATGGATTTTCAGTGAATTTAGAAGACTCAAAACAAGGGAGAGTACCAAGTAATGGATTTTACTATAAACAAGGAATCAACAAAAGTTACGTTATCATGTTTTAAATATTCATATAAATTTTGGATAATGGATACACCCAGTTAAATTTCTAAATATGATTGGTCAGTGCCTCCCTTAGTGGATCTAAAAACAAGTAAATAACTATTCTTAAACATATTAATATAATAAAAATTTATGTAGATGAAAAAACTTCAAATAAGTAAATGCAAGCGTCCATTGCGGAAATTTGGGATTGGGACCTCCATGTATCATTTGTTTTTGGTCCTTAGTGAGAAAAAATGTTTTTGTTTGAATGAATATAACATTTAACTAAGAGGGGCGTAAGTGAAGGTTCATTGGGCTTTTGTATCCCATTAATATCAGTTACCGGTTCTTTATAGTTTTTCTATTTATTTGCATGAGTAAAGTATAAAGTGAAAATACTGATATTTGATATTTATAACTAGACCATAAATGTTTTCAGAATTTATGAGTAACAAATAGTAAAAAACAGTGTTTGTGTTAATTATCCTTTTCGAGTACTATTGTTTACAAATAGTAGGGCGGCAATATTCGATTGATGACAATGATTGCTAAGCTGAATATAAACATAATTATAATTTAATGGCAATAAATATTCAAATAAAGTAAATAGTTAACAATACTTAAATGCTAATCGTACAGATCAATGGCAGAGAGAAGAATGTGATAGGTCTACCGATTGAAAATGAAAGAGCTAAAGCATTCTTGTGGCTCCCATCTCCTGTCTCCCTCATCTATCACTAATTAACCCGATATTCCAAAACATCATCTACATAATTTGCATTTTACTTTGTTAATTATGTATAGTCGACGTTTTACATATGTGTGATCTGAAATATTATCAATCATTTTATGCTTAACTAAAAACGAGCTGGCTAAATAAAAACGATTTACTCGTGGTTGATTATTTTTAAAAGAAATCAGATTTTGCTTTACAAAAAAAAATCTATATAATGTGAATTAGTTTAGTTATTTCATTAGTTTACCCAATTCTTTTTTCATTTATCTTGAATGAAATGAAACTTAATGATCATTTCATCAAACAAATAAAATAAAAAATCCAAAAACTATTGCATGGTAATTTTGATGAAACATAATACTTACCTCGTTTTTCTTACATTTCATTCATCTTATCCCCTATTTTTCACCCCTTAAATTGATTTGATGCTATATATTCCCATCAAATAATAAAATTATGTCTAATTAATTTAGAAAAAATTTCTAAAGGTCTCTCCACTATCATTGACAATAGTTTCTCTATATTCCTCTCTTCTTCTCCTTCAGAGACCCAAATTCCTAAAAAAAGAAAAAAAAAATCGTATGAATCATATGTACTAGTATGTAGACTAGTGATAATTATCATCGATCAAGAAACCATAAAGAGCCGATCAAATCCATGGCTAGTCCTAGCAGCAAAGGGAAGGCCATCGCAGAAGGATCCACGTCTCAATCGCAACCGCAGTCACCTCCTAACCCACCAGCGTTAAGCCGTTACGAGTCACAGAAAAAACGAGACTGGAACACGTTTTGTCAATACCTTCGTAACCAGCAGCCACCGGTTCACATCTCACAGTGCGGTTCAAACCACATCCTAGATTTCCTACAGTATCTTGACCAGTTCGGAAAGACAAAAGTTCATGTCCATGGATGTGTGTTTTTCGGACAAGTTGAGCCTGAGGGACAGTGTAACTGTCCTTTGAAGCAAGCGTGGGGGAGTTTAGATGCTTTGATCGGACGGCTGAGAGCGGCTTACGAGGAGAACGGAGGTTTGCCGGAGAGAAACCCTTTTGCCGGCGGTGGAATTAGGGTTTTTCTTAGGGAAGTGAGAGATTCACAGGCCAAGGCAAGAGGAGTTCCGTACAAGAAAAGGAAAAAGAAGAAGAGGAATCCTATGAAGAGTAGTCATGATGCTGGAGATGGTACTACAGGGACTAGTAGCTCCAACTTGCCATCTTAGCAAGCAAACAAAAAAAACATATAATAAAACAAATATGGGATTAATTAATGGTAAGCATTTTATTTTCTCTATATTTAATCTCTATAACTTTCAATTAATCACAACGTTTATGATCTTTTTGCAATTCTACGTATTTATATGTTAAAGAACTGGATAGAGTTAACACTCTTTTTTGCGACTGTAGTTCTTACAAATTCCAAACTAAGATCATCTATACTCACATGTGAATGGTGAAAATTTTGATGATATATAAATTCTTGATGATCTAACTAAACATTATTTATCTAAGATCATTTCATATATAGTATGTGAATAATGTGACTGGTCGTAATTACTTTGTTAACTGTACGTACGTATGTGTGTATATATAATATGAATATATGATGAACTGTGACGTATATTCGGTTCATTTTACTACACTGTAAACCCTAGAGAGTATATATACACACACGTACGCGAGAAAACCCTAGTTGCGGTTTAGCTAGGTGTCAGTGTGTATATATGAATGTATATACACACAACAAAAATCTGTTACAGTAATGGATATCAAATGATATATAAACACCATCTATATATTACATAATTTATCACCTGTTCCTGGTAAGTTAGTATTTTTTTTTTTAAAAACGGTAAATTAATTGTATCTTGCGGCGGTTCTTTGTTCGATCTAAGGGTGTCAGTTTGCTCATTAAGTAAGTTATGATCTGTATATTTTTGTGTGTTTTAATAATGATTTTGTAGACTTTGTATTTCAAACACACTTAATTACTCTTAATCGTGTGTATATATTTTGTATATGGCTGTATGTTACTGTTGTGGTGTAGTTGTCATGCATGGACAAAGCCTGCTCCGATATGGAGTATCAACTTAATTAGCCTTAGTCTTTAGAACTAGACTATATCAAATTTTGATTAGTAAAATAAGATGGAAACGCATATGTACGATTAAAATGAATAATCATGTCCCAAAATATCACGTGTTAATCAAATGTAGACTTCCAATTTCTGTTAGAATCACTCTCCGTAAATGGTTTTAATCACTTGTGCTAACATTGAACTTGAACTAACCGTTTGTTAACCTGTGTTTGCCTAATTTAGTCATAGTAAGACAGAAGCTAGGTTTGAATCCGGAGACGTAAGTGTTACTACCAAACCTTGATTATGATGTATTAGTTGATCTTTTTATTTGATTGAATTCAGAGATTTGTTAATAACTGAAAAAGTATTTGTCCATGGCCACTGGCAATGCCTTATATAGATAGATCTTAACGATTGAAAAAGGCGAGTGGTTATAACATTTTGAAACTCGGCTATAACACATGTCTTCTCCTTGGTCAATCATATTAGTCTTATAAAATCTTCCTATCTCGTTTTTGCTTCTCCATCAAATCGAAACCATATCCTCGGAAAAACTCATATCACTTTTGCTGTGCAAGAACAGAGAAAAACACCTAACAAATCATATCGCAGTGAGTTATATCAACTTATCATCAATGCAGAAGGGAGGAGTACTAGTGGAAACACGGGTCCATATTATCAAACGGAGTCTACGACTACGTACGATATAATTTTTGTACATTCATAGAACACAGGCTGAAGCAAGCAACCATCCAAAAATTCCAAGAGGTTTGGGCTTTTTGTGAATCTCTGCAGCAGTTTTTGAAAATAGCAAAAGATATAAGTTTTTTTTTTATTAAATTCCAAACGATATGGAGCTGTTTCATAAATACGAAATAAAAATAACCATAAGCGAAATTAACCGCGAGATATTAAAAAAAAAAAAACTATTGCATGTTGAGCTACAATGGGCTGACGAGATGGGCCTCACGCATCCTCATAATACCCAAACTTTGAGCTTCTTTTAATTTTCTAGAAAACGTAAACAGAAAAATAAAACACAGCGGTGAGGTCTTGTGCAAAGTCAGATTAAAAAAAATGGCGAGGAAGAAGATGAACATCGCCATTATACATCCAGATCTTGGAATAGGTACGTTATTCATCACCTTTGTGATCTTCATTTTATCATCTGAGAGAACGTTTCACGAGTTTACACAAGTGCGTTGAATTGCTTGTTATATATATATATATTCAGGTGGAGCAGAGAGATTGATCGTCGATGCGGCTGTTGAGCTTGCGTCACAAGGTCATAAAGTTCATGTCTTTACCTCTTACCACGATAAATCTCGATGCTTTGAAGAAACTCTCTCTGGTAATTGAAGAATTTTTAGCTTTGAAAGAAGTTTAGAAAATTTGTAACCATTATTATGTAAGCTACTGATTAGTATAATTTTTGAAATGTAATGTGTGTATACAATACAGGAATTTTTCAAGTTACGGTGTATGGTTCTTTCCTGCCACGTCATATATTCTACCGTCTACATGCGGTTTGTGCGTATCTGAGGTGTTTGTTTGTTGCTCTTTGTGTTCTCTTGGGATGGTCTTCCTTCGATGTTGTGCTAGCTGACCAGGTTTCAGTCGTTGTCCCTTTGCTGAAACTCAAAAGGACTTCAAAGGTATACTCAAAAACTCTTTGCTTTAGTCTTGTTTGTGATCTGTTCATTATTTATAGCTTAATCTTGAAGTTTAACTTATTTGGATGGATCTTAGGTTGTTTTCTACTGCCATTTCCCGGATCTCTTGTTAGCTAAGCACACAACTGCACTTAGGAGGATGTATCGGAAACCCATTGACTTTATTGAAGAACAAACCACAGGTTTGGTGTCATTCATTAACGGTTCAGCCTTTTGGTATCTGTAGTTTTCGCCTCTGTATTCATACTCTCTTTGCTTGCAGGAATGGCTGATATGATCCTTGTTAACAGTAACTTCACAGCGTCAACATTTGCTAAAACGTTTAAGCGTCTTCATGCACGAGGAAGTCGTCCTGCTGTTCTTTACCCTGCTGTCAATATCGATCAGTTCCACGAACCCCATGTTTATAAGTATTGTATATTCCCTAAACTCCAAATTTTTAGGATTAAACATTAAGAGGTAAAAGAACATTGATTCAGATTCTTCTGTCTTGAGATCAGGTTGAATTTTCTCTCCATAAATCGCTTTGAGAGGAAGAAGAACATTGATCTAGCTGTTTCAGCTTTTGCTATTCTTTGCAAAAATAAGCAGAATCTTAGTGATGTTACCCTAACCGTTGCTGGTAAGTGTACTAATATTGAATGAAGGTTCACTCTACTGTTTGCATTCTAATAAGAACTCTCCATTGCACAGGCGGATATGACGAACGATTGAAAGAGAATGTAGAGTACTTGAAGGAGCTCAAAAGCTTAGCGGAGAAAGAAGGAGTTTCTAATCGAGTAAACTTCATCACATCTTGTTCAACCGCTGAAAGAAACGAGCTTCTCTCAAGCTGCTTGTGCGTCCTCTACACACCAACGGTAAAACTCCCCTCTTCTTACCTTCTCTTCCTCCAAAGCTGAGGTCTCATGTTATAGCATATTTGAAAATGCTAGGATGAACATTTCGGTATTGTTCCATTAGAAGCAATGGCTGCATACAAACCAGTGATAGCCTGCAACAGCGGTGGCCCCGTGGAGACGGTGAAGAGTGGAGTAACAGGGTATCTATGTGAACCGACTCCAGAAGATTTCAGTTCAGCGATGGCTAAGTTCATGGAGGATCCTGAGTTGGCGAGTAGAATGGGAAGTGAAGCGAGGAAACATGTGGTTGAATCATTCTCTGTGAAGACTTTTGGACAAAAGTTGAATCAGTATCTAGTTGATGTAGTATCAAGTCCTAAAGAAGATTGAGATTTGTTTTGGTAAATCGTATACAGCATACTATTAGAGAGTTAAGGTCTGAAACTAGAGAAGCTTTATTGTTGGATTAATCAACTTGAATTTGAAGATTGGTTAGTTTTGGTTGAGCTCGGTTTGAGAATAAATTTGGCGTAATAAGTAATTTTAAGCTAAACCGCCTCTTAACAAGACAACATGACTACCTCTATTTACCTTAATACTTCCCTAAACTATTTGATTATTTAAAACCGGTTTATAGACTCATCGGTATGATTTAAATTCGGTTTAGTTAAATATTTGTTAATTATCGGATATGATTATTGGGTTACTAAAGTTCGGTTTAGTAACATCTTGGTTAATTATTGGATATAGATTATAATTGAGCTACTAAATTCGGTTTAATAACATCTTGGTTAAATATTGGATATGATTAAAAATCGGTTTAGTATCATCTTGGTTAATTATCGGGTTATGATTAAAGCTCGGTTAATAAAATCCGGTTTGGTTAATTAAATCTCCTTCTCGTCTTCCAGATTATCCTTCCCTCCAATATCCATCGAAGCTTGCCGTTGTCGGTGTTCCTCGTCGCCTCGCTCGCTGCTATCCTTCCATCGAAGCTTCCTTACATTCGCAAAACGTCATGGACGCTAACAATGCTTTCGATTCTGTAATCTCTTGCTCGATTCTTCCCTTATCTTTCGCTGTTTTCTCCTCTGCATTCATTGATTCTCATTTGATTATTACCTTTATGGAATTAGGATCTGATCCATGCCATCTTCAAACACATTTGGGCGCGAAGATTTCGCGGTATGTTTTCTCGACTAGTTTTATCCGGTTATGTTACGATCTTTCTCTGTTTCTGATTTTTTATAATCTGCGAATTGCGAATGCAGAAAGAGAGAGGAGTGATGCAATTGATGCTACAGACGCTGAGGTAACTCACAATCAAAATCTCTGAGATTAGATATGTTCAAACGAGTGTGATTGAAGTTATCATTTTTGTGGTGATAAAAATGTATGCAAACAGGTTGCTCTGGGAACAACCAAGAAGAACAGACTTGCTTCTGGTTTGTCTTATATTATAATAATTAAAACTCTCTGTTACTTGTTTTTGTTATGAGGCTTGATGAATGTTTGTGGATATTGTTGTTAGCCAACGCAAATGCTCTGAAACTTAGCTGTGAGCTTCTCAAGAGTTTTGTCACAGGTCATATTATCATCCCATCATGGTTTTGGTAATCTCAGTTTAGTCATTTTGTTGTTGTTTGTTACTAAAGGATTTTACTATTTGCAAAATTTTGCAGAGGCTGTGCAGCGTGCAGCTATAATTGCTGAAGCTGAGGGGATGGATAAGATTGAAGCGAGTCATTTGGAGAGGATTCTTCCACAACTTCTCTTAGACTTTTAATAAGGTATAATCGAGACTGTTGATATCTAATGATTAACAGTGATTTCACGCAAGTATGGTTCATGTAAGGTTATGTTCATGAGAAAAAGAGAACCAATTATATGTTTTCTTTTAAAGTATATGTATCTGACTTTGGTCCTGTCCACTACATTCAGTAAATAAAGTAGAGTGTTTGTTGCCTGCACATAGTTTGTTTTCTCCTCCTCCATTCTCTATGGTTTAGCTTCTCCACAGAAAAAAGGCTGTATACTTTTATAGATGGTCATTTCCATGTTTTTATACTTAGGTGAAAATTTAACAGATGAAATATTGTATTTTCTTGATTAACCACGTGTAAAGATCTATGTAGTCAAACTTACATATTCTTAAAGTGTAGACACATAGCAATCGTTTGAAGGATGATTATTTGGACAACCAATTCGTCAATGATCAATGTCAGAGGCAGTTAGGCTCAGTAGCTGATGTTAGGCTTGATACTTTTTAGCTAAGATCAGGCCGTAACTAACTTGGAACTGACTTTAATTTCACATGGGGTTGCGATGACGCCCAATGAGTATTTACGACCAGACGGTGACATCTGTCTTTTTCTGACATCGTCTTTAGTTTAAAGGGACGGCAATAGTTACTATATATAGTATTCTCTTATCTAGTTAGCTCATAAACTCTTATTTAAACTCAAGAAAATGGCTTCTTCTGCGGATGCTCCTCTAGAGGGTGGCCTTTCGTCTCTGAGATTGACGGCCGATAAGTACCGATCGATCTTGAACGATGAAAAAACTGGGAATACACGGTGGAGATACGGTGGTCCTCCGATATTTGACACTGTGAACAAGCTCTTCGAAGAAGAAAGAACTCATGTAATTACAAACCAACTCTCTTTCTCTTGTCCTCTATTGTTTTTAAAATAGTTGTGGTCATTTTCATAAAATTATAGCATTATCTTAATGATACTAACAAAACTATATAATATCAAATAGTTCACTAGTATCCACAATAATTTCAAGACAAAGTCAAGATAATGACCATACAACATCTGATGTGACAGACGGCAAACATATACTCAAGTTCAACAAAGTTTACAAAGACTTTCTCTGTAGTGTTCAAAGATGTCATTATCTCAATGAATAAAAAATGAAGCGTGTTAAGACATACAAACAAGTGATTGTGGGCTATTGGTTGCAACCTAGTCATGATAGTGTGATTGTGACTCTTAACAACTTCATTACGTCAAATTAGTGAGGTTAAGTAAATAGAATTCATGAGTATAACATTATTCTGTTGATGAAAACGTGTAACGTGGGATTATAAAAGAGAGAAGTAAGCTTAACTCTCTCTACATCAAAAGCTAATAATGGCTACTAGGGAAGAGAGAGATAAGTATAGATCTATCCTTAACGATGTAGGAGAGGTTCAGTGGAGGTATGGTCACCCTCCAGCCTTTCATAATGTGAACCAGCTCTTTGAAGAAGGCCAGACCAAGGTCCTTCGGTTATAAAACCTTGCGTGTTATTTATGTATGCACTAAGTTCAAAATCTGTGAATCTGATTAGTTGCTTGTGTGTTGGTGGTTTTGATCGCAGGTATGGCCAGAAGGATCGTTGGAAGAGACGGTTCAAAACGCTATCAAGTCATGGGAGATGGAGCTCTCACACAAGATACGTTTACAAGACTTCAAGACTATTAACCCTGATAAGTTTAAGCTCTTTGTCAATGGTAATCATCACAAACACCTGATCAAATATGATCTTACCAAACAAATACTTAAGTGGTTTTTTTCAATACTAGGGAGAGAAGGATTATCAGCTGAAGAAACGCTTAGGCTTGGGAGTTATAATGCTTTGCTCAAGAACTCTCTGCCTGAAGAGTTTCAGTACTATAAGCCAGAGGAAGAGAGCTTTGAGTCATCGCATGACGCCTTTAGATCTGCTTTACCACGTGGGTTTGCTTGGGAAATACTTTCTGTGTACTCAGGGCCGCCTAATATAGCCTTCAAGTTTAGACACTGGGGATACTTTGAAGGAAATTTCAAGGGTCATGCTCCTACTGGGGAAATGGTTCAGTTCCTCGGCCTGGGAGTTCTAAAGGTATGTCCGAAACATAATCTATGTCCCTTCTTACAATCCTTCAATGGTTACAACTTCTACCAGCAGGATTTGCTTACATCCAGAGGTTCTTTCTCTACAGGTTGATGAACTGCTTCGAGCAGAGGAGATTGAGATTTACTATGATCCAGGAGAGCTGTTCGGGGGACTGCTCAAGGGACCTCCTATATCAGAGACCAACACCACAGACACTGGAGACAACACTGCAGAGAAACAGAGCTGTCCCTTCACACATTAAGAAAATTCAAGGAACTATGAATGTTGATTCTCTGTATCGTTGGACCATACTGAAAATAAAGAAGTGTGTAGACTGTTTATAAAATATATTGGAACAGTCACTTGGATGAATGGAATGAGTCATATATTATCTTTTCAGGAGTCACAATGATAGTTTAGATAAATTACAACACGTACTAGAACGAAACGGTTGATTTAACTGACCAAATTCTCAACAGAGCTCAACCGTTGAATCAACTCCGTTCTGGCATTCATCCATGAGAGCCACGTTCAACATCTCGGTACAGAACTGATCATCAGGTTTCAACCATAAGGCCTGAAGATTAAGAAATGAAACGTAACACATAATTAAACTATCGTCTGGTAGAGAGATTGCTATTACGGACATCACTAGAAGTTTGCTCATATATAGAAGCGTGCAATACCTTGTGATAGTGAGAGATGGCAGCTGAGAAATTCCCCTGGAAAAGAGTAAGATGAAAGTGGGTAAATTACAACTCTTTAGAAAAATATGACTGGTGTTTTAAAGAGCAATCGAATACCTGCAAATGGTAAGTGTAGGCCAAGCCTGAATAAGTGCTCAAGCTTTTAGTTGATAGTGTAAGTGCTCTTTCATAGTATGAGATAGCTTCACGGTACTTCCTGTTAATAAGAATTTTACATTCAAACACAAAATTGCCAGCATAAGAAGAAGATCATGGTAGTTGTAATGGCACTACTATACCTTAGCTTCCTATATGCATGAGCGAGGTTGACCACTGTTGGTTCCCAGATTTCAGTTAATACAGATGGTATATGGGCCAACGTCTTCTCAAACCACCGCACAGCTTTACCATACCTGAAAGTGAATTGGACTCAATTTTCTGGACTCCCTCATTTTATAAAGTAATTTTGTCGTTAATAGCATCTGAAAATTTGGGATAAGTAGACTGTAAAGAGAAAAGGTACACACTCTTTCATATGATATGCAACAACTCCGAGTTCATTATAAACAAGTGGATCTGAAGGGCATATCGCCTTTGCTTGCATGAAAAACTGGACCAAGAGTAGAGATCAAAGTAAATAATCTATTAGCAAAAACGCTAAGTGATAAAATTTGACGACACCAAACAGCATGTTGTAACTTGTTACCTGGTCCGCAAGCTTGTAACTGTGAGTCCGCATATACTCCATTCCAATGTACAGAGTTGGCAAATGACACCTGGAACAAGATAATATCAAGATTTAACCTGTCAAAAACAATTCATAACGTAATAAGAAGACTTCCACAATGCTTCAGGCTGAAAATGGCTCATTGTGGACATTACTGATTATGAAGAAGGAAGAATAACTTGATTACCCTGGAAATAGCCTAGCAGCAGTGCGATAGGCAGACATGGCTTGGTCACCTTCATCTTGGGCGGCAAAGGAATTACCAAAGCCTATCCAAGCTGGTGAGAATGAGCCATCTATATTCGTCGCTTTGCTGCAAGACCATATTCAAAGCAAGAGGAGCATCAGGTCAAACACATACTACTGCACCTACCTACTAGAGTTGATCAAGCCAGCATAAATACCTAAAGTACCGCCGAGCTTCAGCATACTTTTTGATACAATAGTAGTAACAACCTACCGCAAACCATGACAAAGCCCTACAAGATCATGAGGGATTATTCACACCACAAAACATCAAACAAAGGAGTCTTGAATACATACTACTCATGAAAATGTCGCTCAACCAAAAAAACAAAGTACAGGAGACCATTCACAACCGAAAAACTATTAAGAAGAAATAATGCTCTTAAAGTTTATTCATGTCGTTGATAAGCTGAGCAATAAAAATAGGTTAAAATATTCTAGCTAGGATTGGAATAAAAACAGAAGACATATATGCTAATTAACATGCTCCCACACAGGCCATAAAACAAGAAATAAGATTCATACTCACTTCGAAGGGTAGTCTTTTACCAAATTGCATGCCATTAGATAGAGCTCATTTGAATTACCAAGCTCCATCGCAGCGGCCAGATGTACCAAGGTACACTTTAGATGAAACGGATCTTTCTCAAGGAGTCTGTCAAGATAGACCAAGAGAGTCCACATTACAAGAAGCCTTTCAAGCTTCATATTGCTCACAATTTAGTATCACCAGTAAAATACAACTTACCCAGAGGTTAGTTCGAAACACTTCTGATATTGACAGCATTGATGGTAGTACTCAGCCTTACATGCCAACAGATCAGTGTTGTTGACCAATGTACTGATCATAGATGAGCCAGACACACTACCACTAATTTCGTTCTCAAGCTTCTTAAACCTAGCTTCTACAGTGCTCTCATTGTCATACTGCAAATGAAATATTAAGTACTTAGAACAAAAATAAATGATGCCACCTACCTACCGAATAGTACCGGATTAAATACTTTACTGCATAATAACTTTTACCTTCTTTATCAAGCATGAATAGAAAGACGAGAGCCATCCGTCTTCTGGACTAAATTGAAGCGAGGAAAGCAGATTTGATTCTGAAATTTATGAAAATAACGTCTCAGTCACCTTTTAGTATGTAAACAACAACTGCGCCATGACACAAATATTACACTAAAATAAAGAACAAATAAAACTTGAAGTATCATAACCCACCTTCTTCAGATGTAAGCATATGACTTTCAATAAGGCATTCCAAAGCCTGAAATGATAGGTTACAGAGGCCACATCATGTAACATTATCTTTTAGATTATAGAGAAAGTACTACTTTGTACAGTAACGAGAGAGAGAATTCATCCTCCCACATTAGCTCCGAAACTTTTCATGATAACTACAAATGCATCAGTTGAATAAAGCGCTAGAAGTACCTCATAGCATAGAGGATCAGCCTTGATAGCAGCTTTATACCTGCAATAACAACCGAAATTAATGAGCTAAATGGGGATGAAGTTCTAGATTCACGCACACCACTCAAACATAATGGATCAGCCAAGATACAAACAACAAGTGAAGTTCCGAATATTTCTTCTAGATACCACTTCAATGAATCTTATATACATCATTAAATTAACAAGATCACTCAATTGCAATCATCAAAATATACATAGCAGATGATCACTTGAACAAGAAAGACAAGGTGAAAAAAGACTGAACTAACCATTGCCGAGCTTGAGAACGATTTTGTAAAGCTCCATATGCTTTCCCTCTTAAAAAGCATATTGCAGATGATATCTGCAAACACACAAACCTTCAATTCCAACAATTTCACTAGCTATATGAATATACAGAGCTGAAAAAACTGGTTAAATAAACTTACATTAATCTCCCTGTCCTCACCATCTTTATCAAAATAAATCAAGTTACCATCCTTAGCATCATAAACATTACCATCTTCATCAACCTTCGCATCACCAAGCATCAATAAACACTGATCCCATTCTTTCAATTCTTCCTGAGAGAAAAAAAAAAAACCCAATCAATTATCCATAAAACCCTAAAACCTATAACTTCCAATTAAACATTCAAAAATTGGGGATTTACGAGGCACTTGGCGGCGAGGTAACGGAAACGAAGATCACGGAGGACAATCTTAGAGGCGTTGAGGAGATGAAATGCGCGACGGTAATGTCGACCTAGGAAGAGGGCTTGAGCCTGCATATAGATATCCGCTGGGTCATTGGTGAGAGCTGCGACTTTATCGGCGAAGAAGATGGCGGAGGAGTACAAGTGTTTGCTGACGCAGTCGCGAACCACGCCTCGGATCTTCTCGATTTCGTCTTCTCTCATTGTTAATTGCGAAAAGTTTCACTCACTCTCTCTCTCTATAGAGTCAAACAGAAGGGAGGCGGGACGAGGATAGATCCTCGGCGGGAGAGGTAAGAGCGTATATGATCAGTGCATTAGGCCCATTAGCTTTAAACTTGGCCCATAATAATTTATGGGGGTTTAGGTCCCTTTTACATATAATCGTATGTATGTCATTTTTGAAATAAAAAAACGAAGACGAGTAAACCCAATTAGCGCATTATAAGCCCAATATCATGATGGAACCATATATGCAAACAACTCTACTCAAATTTTTGTAAATATCTTATACACACATATTAAGTAAAAATTAATGAAATATTAAGTAAAAATGATGAAATATTAAGTAAAAATTGATGATATAATAAAGTAAAAAATAATGATATATTATAGATATAGTAACATGACTCATATGTGTATCTCAAATACACACATATTAAGAAACAAATCATTGTTTTATTATAGATATATGTAACTTACAAACTAAATAATTTTCTAAGAATCTCATCTATATTAGTTTAAGAAATTTAATTATTCTAAATAATTATTTTATTAACATTCAAGATTACTATTAATTAGTCAAGAATCTATACAAATCAAAATAGCTATCTCTAAGAAGCCAAGATCTAGAAAATTACTCAATTTATATTTTATAAGGTGAAAATTCTCAAATTGTATATATAATAAAAGATGTTTTCTCATAAAGGCATATTTTTATAAATAAATTCAAGATATTTTCTAATGTTTAAACCAATATTAATTTAGTAAAATTAATGATATTCAATAGATATTTTGTAAAGTAATTATGTTAAATTAATACAATTGTATAAAAACACAGATTCATTTATTTATAAAATCAAAATCAAAATTTATTAGAGATTACCTTTTAGAAACGGATATTATATTTTTAAAAGGGAAACGAGTATTATACTTGATTTTGAACCACTAAAATTACAAAATTTCGTGGGAAGTACATATCACCCACTAGTATATATATATATGTGTATTTTGGTAAAGAAAAAATCATCATCTCAGAAATTAGAAGTGTAAGAGATAAAAATCCACCAGAGTTAGTCTCGCCTCTAAAGCTAATCTTTAGAAGCCCTTACTTATTCTCCTCTCCTTTTTGATTTGATGTCTACGTTCATGGATGCAGTTAGAGTGAAACGTGCTCGTTCCACCAACCCACCAAGTGAAGTTGATCGGCTAAGCAGTTTGCCAGAGTGCTTGATATTCAAAGTGCTCTTAAATCTTCCTACAAAAGATGTGGTTAAGACTAGTGTGTTATCTACCAGATGGACAACTCTCTGGAAAGATGTACCTGGTCTGGATTTGGACACCGAGGATTTTGATACAGATGAAACATTTGTGAGTTTTGTCGATAAATTTCTTGAACACCACCGCGGTTTATCCATGCATCGATTTAAGTTAACATACGATTCTTTATACATTGAAGAGCCTGGTTTTGTCAATCGTTGGGTTGACACTGCAACTAGGCTTAAAGTTGAACATCTCGATGTTTTGGACAATTCCTCTGACTGGGATCACAAAATGAATCCATCAATTTACACTTGTAGTAGCTTGGTGTCCCTAAGGTTTGAGGGAATGAGCTTACCTAATCCTGAGCGTGTTTTGTTACCTTCTCTCAAAGAGATTGTTTTAATTGTCGTTGAGTACACCAACCAATGGGCATTAGAGAAGTTAATCTCACAATGTCCAGTTCTTGAAAACGTTATTATTGAAAGAATTCACGGTGATGGGATGCCCATTTTACGTGTGCATTCCAAGTCTCTGTTGAGCTTCACGCATTATTGGGATGATGATGAGGAATATGAGAAAGATCGTATAGTTGAAATTGATGCTCCCATGCTTAGGTATTTGAGGATCAATGATGGTGGAACTACGAGTTTCATTATAAAGAACCAGCATTCCCTTGTAAAAGCTGATATAGATTATGTGTTTAATTTCACTACTGAAAGGAGGCTACAATCTGCAGATGAATTACAAAAGAAAGAGATGGTTCGTGATTTTCTCATTGGGATTTCTAAGATCAAGGATATGCGCATCTCTTCAAATACTCTCGAGGTACCTATATATATCTATATGTTTTAACTTTCAAGTCACAATCGGAATATTAAATTTTCTTGATTTCCAACTTTAAATCAATTATATATTTCTCTCTGTTCAAAATGTATGTTTTTGAATTTATACATATATTAAAGACATTTTAAGTTTTAACTATAAATATATTTTCTGTTATTAACTATTTCTCATAATCAATCAAAATTCAATAAACACAATTAGATTTTTTTGAAACTTCCTAACAAAAAAAACACACAGAAAATTGTACAATTAAAAAATACCGGTAGTCGTACAAACAAATATATTTCTCAAAAAAAAAAAATATATATATATATATATAAGTTTCTGAAACATATAATTTTTAAAAAACATGGATCAATTCGAGAGAATATTAGTTATAATTATCCTCCAACTATGGATGTAATACTTCATTTATTAACACTATTTTTTTCGTTGATGTTGTTCTTGTAGGTCATATATGATTACTCAAGATATGTACAACTACCGGTCTTTAGTAACCTATATACCTTGCATGTCAGATTTGACAGCTACGTGTGGGAGACGTTGCCAGTCTTTCTTGCACTCTGTCCGAATCTAAAAACTCTTGTCGTGGTGAGGATTATCTAACAAACTCATGAACTTGAGAGTATCATATCTTATTCTTAAACTCGTGTCTCGGTTGTATTGTACGTGCAGGAAACTAGTGAAAATTACTATATGGTTGACCTTACTGTTAATGCCAGACCTTTGAATCTGTTATCATCTCTAGAGTATGTTGACATAGAAAGGCCATTCAAAGGGGAGGCGTTGGAGATGGCACTAGTGGGTTACTTACTCGAGCACTCACCAAACCTCAAGAAACTATCATTAAGTTTGCATGATTCACTAAAGAAAGGAGAATCTGTCGACAAGCTAATATTAAGCTTGGATGATGCCCCAAAGAAAGAAGAACCTGACATCTTCATAGAACTACGTAACTTTCCGAGACGCTCTTGCTCATGCCAAATTATTGTACGATGATTCTCATAGTCATCACCAAGGGACATATAATTTTGTCTTTGATAACTATTTGTTGCTTCTTAGTTTATCATGACAGTGGAGTGTTTAATTCGGTATAATAATTATAGTATTTATCATATGTATGAGTGAAATAAGTATTGTTTTATCTTGGCTAAAGGCATATGCTTTGGAAGTTGTCAAGATGGTTTTGTGCTTCCTTCTTTTGTGTCTTGCATGGCTATATAATATTTATCTTTTGTATAAAACAAAACAATTGGTACCTATATAATAAACAATTGTTTTAAAAATCACAGAAAGCATTTTTGGAAGCACACTTTTTACCTACAAAAAATCACCTTTTTATTAGTGGGAATAATATCTCATCAAGCTTCTGATTACATTTCAATTCATTAAGAATAAAAAAACTGAAAAAACAAGAAAAAAAATCAAGAAAAAAGTAAGAAGAATCTTTTGTTTTTGAAAGACTCTCAAACAATTGTGTGAGACTCTAAAATTAGATGTCAAGTTATCTAAGAATGGAAATGCTGTTATGCTAGAACTTTAATAAATATACATTCGTTTTTTTTTAAATTAGAGTTTTTGGTCTAGGTTTTCTATTTTATTTTTGTCAACTATTCATACAAAATCAGTTTAGGTTTAATAATTAATTTCATATAAAATGTTAAACCACCATATAGCTATTTATTGAACATCCATAGGGGTTAATTGTAACTTCAATCCTCCTCCATTTTCCATTTTAAAATATAGTTCTATGGTTTTTAATTAAATCAATATTTTTACCAAATGTTGCAAGGATGAACTGATAAATTAAATCAACTGATAACCATTTTCAATTTATAAATTATATTTTTATTTACGTTATACATAAAACCAATGCTTAAACAAAACCTAATTATATTTTCACATAAATCTAAATTTTAAAATATAACAGAAAAATAAGAACTAGAATTAAAAAATTATATATTAGTCAAATACAATGTCAGTTACATTATATTAAATACCAAATTTTAAATACATGTCAATTTTTTTATGTTAGATTAAATTCATTGACAACATTGGAAAATATTATGTGAGGACGCACAGGTTTCAATCTAGTTAGTTATTACAATGGAAACGTGGCCTCTTACTAATAGTGAATTTTCCAATGAGTTTGATTATTGATGGAAATTTTATAATACCGACGAGTAACAATACGATAGTCAAATCACAAATCAAGCTTAAGCATTTCTCAAAGATAATGACAATGTCAAATCACAAGCCAATAGCAATAATACTTATAGCAGTGGGTATTCCTGATCATTCCAGATGAATGTCACCGGTGGATATTCAAAGCCTGGTAAAACTCAAATATAGACCCTCCTGTTGGAGTGAACGACGAGCAATGTGTCGGAGCCGCAGATGCAGGTGTATGCTGCCTCCATGAACATGTAGAATCAATGTGTTGTTATGATATCTAAGGTTTCCGGGTCTATAATTTTTGTAGCCTAATTGAAAAAAATGTGGTCTTATATTAATAATTCTTTTATTGATTTATAATTGGCTAAGGTAGAATCAATGTGTTGTTATGATATCTAAGGCTTCCGGTTCTATAATTTTTGTAGCCTAATTGAAAAAAAAATATAGGAAAGGTTTAGTTGGGAGCATTGTTTACTCGTATTTAACTCACTTTGATCATGGCTAAAAGTAATATTCTACCTCGAAGAATCATCAAGGTGAGCTGGGTTTTGTTATCGCCTTCCAATCTTGTCTTTGATTTTTCTAATTCTTATATTATTTTTCTCAATTGTTATCTAATAGAAAATTCAAAGTTTGTTTAGTAAACTAGGTAAGCTCTTTGATTCGCCCGGCCTTTTGTTGAGTTGTAGTATTGTTTCCAGCTAATAATAGTTTAATCCAATAGTTTACCATATCGGGAAAGTCATCGAATGCACAAAAATACACAAATCTGGAACAATGCTAGTTTGAACAGTATTATCAACATGAGTATTGGGCTCGCGGAACCATATATGCAAACAACTCTACTCAATTTTTTAAGAAAATATCTTATACACACATATTAAGTAAAAAAATTATGAAATATTAAGTAAAACTGATGAGATATTAAGTAAAAATTAATGATATAATTAAGTAAAAATTAATTATATATTATAAATATAGTAACATGACTCATATGTATATCTCATATACGCACATATTAAGAAACAAATCAATGTTTTATTATAGATATATGTAACTTACAAACTAAATAATTTTCTAAGAATCTCATCTATAGTACTTTAAGAAATTTATTCTAAATAATTATTTTATTAACATTCAAGATTACTATTAATTAGTCAAGAATCTATACAAATCAAAATAGCTATTTCTAAGAAGCCAATATCTAGAAAATTACTCCATTTATATTTTATAAGGTAAAAATTCTCATATTTTATATATAATAAAAGATGTTTGCTCATAAAGGCATAATTTTATAAATAAATTCAAAATATTTTCTAATGTTTAAACCAATATTAATTTAATAAAATTAATGATTTTCAATAGATATTTTGTAAAGTAATTATGTTAAATTAATACAATTGTTTAAAAACACAGATTCATTTATTTATAAAATCAAAATCAATATTTGTTAGACATTACCTTTTAGAAACGGAAATTATATTTTTAGAAGGGAAAAGAGTATTGATGTTAGGAGTTTTCAAGGCTCCTAGTCAAATGTTGTATAGTGAAGTAAGTTGTCGAACCAGTTCTGAGGGAAGTAGAAGCGATGAGAATGCAAGTACTAACTTAATCTAAGTGCGATCGAATGTTTGGTTGGTTTTAAAGTGAACTAAAACTAAAATGTAAATAAACGATATGACTTTAACTATGAAGGTAAATG